ACAGACCATTGATTTGTTGAAAATCAGATTGATAGTTATTTCTCATTACGCGAAATTGATTGCCATTAAGTAACGTTCTACATTTAATGAACTGAACAAAAACTGTAGCAGTTTTACGTAAATTCTAGGCAACCATTAGTTTTATCTCGAAGTTTTTGCAAGATGATTATAAGATATTGACTCAAAACGTAACGTTTTCTGCGGAGAAATCCTAGCCATGTCATGTGTTAAGGGCTATCGTTCATAACTCCTATGCTAAAACTAAAACCAATCACGACAATGGCAAAATGTGATTATATAACAGAGATTTCTGGGACGAATAAGACAGAAATAAGTAGGCGAACTCTGTTTGTCAGAATTTGTGAAGCTACAGACTGACATTTTTTATAACCGTAAGACTGATCAGTCTCGCATCCACACAAATATATTAGGACACGAATATTTGGTCATAATAGAGTTTCTGTTATACATTAATATGAGTAATAATTATAAATTCTACGGAATACTTTTACTTTCCTCCACGTCACGCCGAAAGCGTTTTAAGGTCAGAACAATAAAAATCAAAGTAGAAAAATGATTTAAGGACATAAAACTAGTTTTTTGTCGAAAAGAAATGACGTTTTTGACAAATAAGGGACGTATTTCTATCTACGAGAAACCAAACAGTTCGATCGGATCAAATGTAAACAATCAACTACGTTATGTCGTACCATCAAAGAAGCCCTATTCTATTCTACTTTGTCACCTTGTGATCAGGTTACCTATTATAGGAGCAGATAATTCTTATGTCCGTTGATAAATTATATTGCCTATGTCATTTGTGGAACCAATGAACTTTTAATTTGCCAGTGACACAGTGACAAATCAACAACGGCGAAAATCTTATTGGCCGTCGTTTATTTACTGACCCAGTATCTGATCAGAAGTCTGTAACCAGATACTATCTCTATTGAGCAGATGTTAACTATAAATCAAATGCTTGTGAGCTCATATACATGTATTATCAGAATACAATATACTCCAACTGAGAAATTTTTCATACATTAATAAGCCATAAGCGTCTGAAAATGAAAGAAAACGTGAATAGTTCATTAGTAATGGTTAAAAGCTAGTAAGGCGTACATCTATAGAGAGTCTAGTGGAAACTCACAATACAGGGGTTATGCGAACAGAATAATCTGGTTATTTAATAATTTCATAGAATCCTATGTAATGATAATAATCCATAAAATAATTTCAAGATTTACATCTATGCAATAATTCCATCGTTGCAACACATCTGTAGCAGTCTAGCCAGAAGTTACTTTGTGCACTAGGAGAGCATGCATAGTAGTGTGTGGATATAGCTGTAAATGAGAAGAACATTAAAGCCTACGACCATGCAAGCGTACAAAATACAGTTACACTTAATAGGGGAAGCAACAGACTACAACCAACGATTACATAAAACTCCGATTAAAACAATCTGGAAACCAGAACTGGGAGAAGATAGCGCAAAGTTCTAAACCCCATACAAACTTCGATCAACAATGCAAAAGCTAAGACTTTCAGTAAAGTACCATGTAACAAAAGTGGTGATGTTTAGACAGTCATACGTAAAATGAACAATAACAACCTCGTTTTGAACAGAAAAAAACATGTAACACAGAACTAAATAGGTCTGCTTTCAAACTTTGAGGCACGTTTTTGTCATACAGAGGTAAATAAATACCCTAAATTAATAGCTTTGTAAGTCTTCGACATCTTTTGCTGACCACATTCTCCTAGAGACAGTTGCAAGACACCGATGAGAAGCATAGCACTTTCGGTCGGGAACTCCTAGCCATGTGTTGTTCTGCATGTCATTTTCAACATTCTGTCAAAGGCCTAGAATTCACTCTTTAATGACTATCAAATTCTTACCTTCTCTATATGCTCGTCTTCAGACGAGTACTCCTCTCAACAGTCTTGACAACTAGATCACGTTTTTCCAGCCTACTTCAGATAAACAACACATTACTGGGGCAAACAATGTAGTTGTGGACACCTTGTCTGGTATAACTTTTTTGAACAGAAGTGAGGGAGTGGATACGCTTCTTTGTAAGTTGCAAGAAATCTGGGGTGATTGGACGCAACAAATGTCCCTTGAGCTCTTTCATAACTCCCGATGATCGTTTCAACTATATTCATCTGGATTAGGTAGGACCTTTACCAGATTCAAATGGATACTCTTATCTCTTGTGTTGACTGTTTCACTCGATGGTCAGAAACAGTAACCGTCGATGATATTGCTGCTGAAATAGTGGTCAACGCCTAAATTGAAACACGGTTAACAAACTTCGGTTGCCGTTCAACTATTACGACAAACCGCGGACGTCGGTCCGGATCTGGGCCTTTCCTTTGTCTAATTACACTATTAGAAAACATGCGATTCCGAACAACCGCCTACCACCTATAAGCAACTGGGTAAGCAGAACGCTTTCACCAACAGCTAAGAGCTTCCCTATCAGTTGCAAACGTTTCACAGTGGACCGAAGCCCTTTCAATAGTCTTACATGGTATTCGCAATGCAGTGAAAGCTGACATTAGATAAATTGCAGCTCAATTCGTTTATTGAACGAGGCTTCGACTTTCAGGAGGATTTATGGATCCTTCATCCTTTTCAATGAATATGGATTTAAACTCCTACATGGACAAACTTACAAACGCAATGCGTTCAGTCAACCCTGTTTCCACTCAACCTCAACTAACTGATGCTTTTGTTCAACCTGAAATACGATACAGCACACACGTCTTTGTGCGTCAAGAGTCACTTTGACGACCTTTAGAAAGAGCAAACAAAGGACGCTTAGGAGTTCTTCAGTGTGAATCTAAGTACTATATAATCGGCAAGAATGAAACTAACGATAGCATCAGCATCGATCGTCTTAAAGCCGTGCACTTAGAAGTAGGCGCTAATTACGCTGATTTTTCTCGGGTACACTTTGAAGACACGAGCCCCACATACGCACCAGTTTTATCTTAAGAATAAGATGCAACGTTAATACTGGAGCTGTTTATTGTCAAGATACTTATAGATGATTTTTAGTACCATATGTCGGCAAAAGTAGTATTCATATCCAGTCGTGAAAGTAAAAGACTAAGTCTTAACATTCCAAAGAAGGCTCACACTCACAGAGTTGAACGTCTTCAGTGGCATCGAATAATAAAAGTGTGGTCAGCATAGTTTTTTAAACACTGGATTTATATTTTCGATAGGACCCACATTTAATATCTAATACAAATATATTAAATGTACGAAAGTGTACACCCATTTTAGGATGTGGTTTTTGACTGTCAGGTGGATAAACTGGTGAACTTCTGCCCAGTTGTTCCACTAATTCTAATAACTAAGTCCTGCTAGTCCTAGGATTCTCAACTAGACTGCTGTACCCATAAGTTAACTCCAACTAAATGGAGGAAAACGTGGCCACAGATCAGGCTTGAAATAGTTCACTCTAAACCTGTAAATAAAAATATAAAATGTTCTAGCTTTTCTAATCTGTCGCTCCAAAGCAGGTTGGTCACAAATCCAATGACCCTTGTAGATCTACCACATCCTATTTACAAGGGATCTAAGACACATTAATGAAGGGTATTGTGTGGCAGTTCTTACCTTATTAACACTATTATAAAGATATGTTCACACTACATTGTGAAAGTTCATTACATCGGCGAAAACGTTTGCCTCAACTGAACGACTATGGGCCATGGTCTCCAAGTGACAATATCATTTACTTGTAGCTAAAACTTTGGTCAATATAAATGCATACATACCTTGGAATGCAGATTAAAAGACATAGATGGTTTACCAAGCTTCAAAGCCAAATTTCATTGATATCAAAACTAGAAGCTGATAACGTAAGATTTTGAATGCGTTATAGCAGTTGAGTTTGAGATTTGCCAGCAAGTGGAGGATAACTGAAGTTGAGGATAAACAGTGATGAAATAAATCCTGAAAATTTGGGTATTCTACGATGTTCTAGTTTTGAAGGGAAAACTGTTGTGCTTGAATGAACTAACAATTCCTTTGTACTTGTTGAATGCTTGATTTCAATAACCTTGGCGAGGATTAGCGCCCTGACTGTAGGGTGATTTGACAAAGGGTGTGAAATTTCACTGACTCCATAAGAGTCTGACGTGGAACTGATTTCGAACCAAACAATGTTTAAGGTTAAACATACTGTGATCGTGTTAACTACCATCAATGGTTAAATATTTACAGTAATTCAGAAATGAATCGGCCATTCAGGAATTGTTTCAACGTGTAACCTCTTGGTCTTTATTCCATCTCCAGCTCAATCGAATGGATATGACTGGTAAATAGGAAGCAAACAGACGACGTTACAACAGAAAGAAATACCTGTGAGAGCTTAGAATTATGCATATAAGTGTAACAAGATAATCGACAGAATCGGATTAGTATGTTTGAAAGGACCAGCCTGGTTTGGTACTGCACTACAAAACTAGTACAAAGTGATGTTAAGGTGATATTGTTGTGTAATTTCCACTGGAAAATTTATAACCTCAACATTTGCCTCATAGAAGTATTAGTGGGCAAGGTATGATTATCGCACACCATATCAGCCATAACCTTGTCTGCTGTAGTAAACCAGTAATAAATTTTTGATAATAAGTAGTCAGGGTAGGATGCTGAATAACGGCGATAAACATTTATACTAACTTCACTGAAACGAATATTAGTAAGCGAAAATCCCCATGCAAATTAATGGTTATGATAGTTTCTATTAGACCTTTTAAAACTAAGCATGATATTTAGTTTCGTCTCGTACGTTTGTGGAGAAAGATTAGCAATGCTGTTACATTGCAATCACTTCTGTTACGAACTAATCTGTTTCTGTATTACATTCAGAAGATGTGTATCAAGAGTCATGCCATTCCGTTAACAAGAAGGTATTCATACTATTCATAGGCAGTGGTCAATAAACATACACTTGGTTAATTCTGTCCGTCAAGTTTGAAGTCTGACCCTGAGTCGAGACCTTGACGCCACTTGAATCGGATTGTGTTTTTGCGTTATTGAAATGCAGTCCGAATTTACTGGGACTACATGTTACACACTATCATTCTAATGCTTTCGTATAACTAGAACATATCAGGTAATAAATTATGGGGAATGTCATGCCTTGATTCCCATATCTCATAAACTCAAAATATTAGTCAAGTCAATGTCAGTTAACTAGGTAACTGAAGTTGAACAAATTAAATTTTAAACAAACATTCATTAAGATCACGGACGCTATTCGTTGATTAGGATATTTGATGGCACGATGTGCCGAGAAACGAGTTTGAATTTGAAGTTTTTTCCTACTCTGCTAATCTACATTTCCTCCTCAAATCATGTGTTCTATGCCAGTCTGTTGTATTACCACCAATACTGTCACTATCCCCACTGTGGAATTCGGCCCGACGATTTCTTCATTGCTAATATGGTGTGACAGTCTGAACCGATACTCACGTGCCAGATTCTAGGTTGTATGTAACTGAATGGTTAAATTTATTTCAACTTAAAACATAATGCTGCCGTTGAGTAGCGTTTTTGTACATCGTAACTAAGTCTCTCACAGTCTACTTTGGTAAATGTACCAAAAAACTAACTTTGGTTTGTAATTGTATCCATATCAGTTTCAGTTTAGAAAGGACAGGAGGCTTGATGGTCTGTGTTAGTGAATAATTTACTTACCAGTCATGTGTGTGATTTCGTATCCGCACTCGCATTCGACTGTGTTTGTTTATTTTTTCCCGCATTTCCTTGTGAGTTTGATAATACATTGGTCATTTTCATACTATCCAACATTAATCGCTTAACTGTACTGGTGAAACATCCTTTTTTTTCAGGCTCAGAAAATGCTTCCGAACGAATTCCTAGTTCTGTTATATATATTCTGTGCAGCTTCATTCATCAGTTTTTACGTTGGAGATCAGTAAGACAGATCATTCTCAATGTAACATTCACAGATTCTTGATTTTATTGTGCTTTCATTATTCTTTGTGCAAAGTATTTTCTCGAGTTAGCAGCAACAGTTTGTAAGCATTTTTAAAATGTGAATTGTGTAGGTTGCTTGTGATCACATTAGGCACTATACTTATGGCTGAAATAATGGCTTTGAGAACTTTGTTGCCGCTAATATGGTAATTTCAGTTTTTACGGACACCTTATCATCCAGGAGTGCTCCAGTCAATTTGTTGTACATACTACTCATTAACTGCTTCCTCTGCCATTATTTAGTGTGGTCTGTGTTAAAGTTTTCTCTTGCTAATATTGAACGTGAGGTTAGTCCCTATTGTTTACCATCAGTTAGTAATAGGTTCTTGAAATTCCAACTTTCAGTAGCTTACCAACAATATGTTGTCTACTGATCACGATGCTGGGCTTCGGTCATTGGAAAAAACATTTGACTTCACTAACATGCTTTCTTGGGTAACACTTGATGTAATTTCTAGTTTTTTAGTGTGCCTACTTTGTGGCTGTGCTCCAGATATAAACCGGAAAAACATCTTGAAGTCCTTTGGAAGTCATTCATGGAGGCGTGTATTGCTATTTTGCTAAACCTATTCCCTGTATTGAATTATGCTGTATATTATTACTTTGATGAAAGTGGCGGGTCATTCCTTAAATTCATGGTAAGTAAAATAAAATTTCAATCCAATATTGTATTGGATAATCTATCCTTAAGAAATAAGATGTTGGGTAACTATTTCACATTTCACAGCACGATTTGATTAATAGTAGCCATTTTTCTCAGTTCACCTACTCTTATGATGTTCCTTTTATGATTAACGAAACTGTTTGCTGTGGCATATTCATATATATATATATATATCGGTTTATAAGTGTTGCACGCATATTTGTAAATGCTATTTACATCTATATTAACATCACGACTCTAAAGATGGTTCGATATGAGGCATCAAATACATATGCGCCACACAAATCTCATTCGATATATGTGTGAGGGCTGTGATACTGCCCGGGTGCCCAAACCGAAGCAGGTGGTTTTCTTAGGGGGCCACACCCCAGATTAACTTAAACCGTTCTAGCTTTCACTATATGTAGATTGATTTCATCACTCACTTTACTAGTAGGACTCACAGCTGTGGAAACAACAGTGACATCTATTAGTGGTTTGAACCAAAGGGTTACGAAAAACTAGTGGATTTTTGCTGTCTATTGCACTGCTAGATTCTCGTAAACTCATCCCATCAGGTTCTGAACACGATGAAGAGCGAAAACAAGTCAGATAGAGGTTAAACAAAAGCCTAAGGAACAACCGTAAGCGGTGGTGGGCAACGAAAGTAAGAAATGAAAAAGGCAGCTGCTGTAGGTAACACAAGACATCTTTTTAGACTAATAAAAGAGAGTGAATTATTTTTAGCGAGTTAGTTTTCTACAGGATGGGGTCGCTAACCTCATGCTTACACCTTCTTCTTTACCCGGGCCTGGGACCGGCATTAACTCCAGAAGAGCTACAGGTGTAAGTCAAAGAAACTGGAATTGAGAAATCAAATGTACGTGGGACAATCTCGGGAAAAGACAACACTATTATCTGCTCTCAGCTCGGACGTTTAGAACACTTTAAGAAGCGTTTCAACCAGCTTTCATCTACCTTACGGCTACCTAGCATTCTTAAACATTCTGGATGGATCATTAAAGTAGACTCCCTAACTCTAATTAATGCCCAATAAGGAATAGCTATTCTCAAATAAGGAAGGGCAGCTGGTCCAGATGGATTGGTTCTAGAAGTCCTCAAGTATGGTGGTCCAATTTCAGCGATTAGGTTAACTAATATTTTAACTAAAATCGGGGAACTGAATATAATGCCATCTGACTGCATCAACAAAACGTTCAGGAGGACTATAGAGGACGTGAGAATCAAGAGAGGAGCTGATATAGCATCAGATCATCACTTGCTGGTCGCCAAGATGAAATTGAAACTCAAGAAGCACTGGACAATGGGGCGGACAATATCACAAAAGTTCAATACGGCCTTTCTTCAGGATACTAACAAACTCAACAAATTCAAGATAGTCCTCAGCAACAAGTTCCAGGCCTTTCATGATCTACTCAATGGAGAAGGAACTACTGTGGAGAGCAACTGGAAGGGGATCAAAGAGGCAATCACTTCAATATGTCATGAGGTCCTGGGTCACAAGAAGCACCATCACAAGGAATGGATCACTGTTGATACACTAGATAAGATTCAAGAAAGGAGAAACAAGAAGGCAGAAATCAATACCAGTCGAACAAGAGCAGAAAAAGCCAAAGCACAAGCTGAATACACAGAAGTAAACAAACAAGTGAAGAGGAGTATCAGAATCGACAAACGTAAATATGTGGAAGATTTAGCAACGACGGCGGAAAAGGCTGCAAGAGAAGGGAACATGAGACAACTGTATGACATAACAAAGAAGCTCTCTGGAAATCGCCGCAAACCAGAACGACCAGTGAAAAGCAAGGAAGGCGAGGTAATCACCAACATTGAAGAGCAACGAAACAGGTGGGTAGAACACTTCAAAGAACTCTTGAATCGACCAGCTCCACTGAACCCACCCAACATCGAAGCAGCACCCACGGACCTCCCAATCAACGTTGGCCCACCAACAATTGAATAAATCAGCATGGCCATCAGACAAATCAAGAATGGCAAAGCAGCGGGACCGGACAACATTCCAACAGAGGCACTAAAAGCAGACGTAGCGGCAACTGCAAGGATACTCCACATTCTCTTTAATAAGATTTGGGATGAGGAACAAGTACCAAAAGACTGGAAAGAAGGACTTCTGATCAAAATACCGAAGAAAGGCGATCTCAGCAACTGTGATAACTACAGGGGCATCACTCTTCTTTCAATACCGGAAAAAGTCTTCATCAGAGTATTGTTAAACAGGATGAAGGACTGCGTAGACGCCCAACTTCGTGACCAACAGGCAGGATTCCGTAAGGATAGATCGTGTACAGACCAAATCGCAACTCTACGGATCATTGTGGAACAATCAATTGAATGGAATTCATCACTCTACATCAACTTCATTGACTACGAAAAGGTATTTGATAGCGTGGACAGAGCAACACTATGGAAACTTCTTCGACACTACGGTGTGCCTCAGAAGATAGTCAATATCATACGGAATTCCTATGATGGATTACACTGCAAAATCGTGCATGGAGGACAGTTGACAAGGTCGTTCGAAGTGAAGACCGGTGTTAGGCAAGGTTGCTTACTCTCACCCTTTCTCTTTCTCCTGGTGATCGACGGGATCATGAAGACGTCAACATCTGAAGGGAAGCACGGGATACAATGGACATCTAGGATGCAGTTGGACGATCTGGACTTCGCAGATGATCTGGCCCTTCTATCCCAAACGCAACAACAAATGCAGGAGAAGACAACCAGTGTAGCAGCAGCCTCAGAAGCAGTAGGTCTCAATATACACAAAGGGAAGAGCAAGGTTCTCCGATACAACACAGCATGCACCGATCCATTCACAATTGACGGAGAAGATTTGGAAGATGTAAAAACCTTTACATATTTGGGCAGCATCATTGATGAACATGGTGGATCTGATGCAGATGTGAAGGCGCGGATCGGCAAAGCAAGAGCAGAATATTTACAACTGAGGAACATCTGGAACTCAAAGCAACTGTCAACCAACACCAGAGTCAGGATTTTCAATACAAATGTCAAGACAGTTCTACTGTATGGGGCAGAAACCTGGAGAACTACGAAAGCCATCATCCAGAAGATACAGGTGTTTATTAACAGTTGTCTACGCAAAATACTTCAGATCCGTTGGCCGGACACTATTAGCAACAATCTGTTGTGAGAGAGAACAAACTAGATCCCGGAGAAGGAAGAAATCAGGAAGAAGCGCTGGAAGTGGATAGGACACACATTGAGGAAAGCACACAACTGCGTCACAAGACAAGCCCTCACATGGAGTCCTGAAGGCCAAAGGAAAAGAGGAAGACCAAAGAACACATTACGCCGAGAAATGGAAATATACATGAAAAAGATAAACAAGAATTGGATGGAATTAGATAAGGAGGCCCAGGACAAAGTGGGTTGGAGAATGCTGGTCGGCGGCATATGCTTCATTGGGAGTAACAGGCGTAAGTAAGTAAGTGACTGGTCGACATCACAGATTGTCTTAATGTATAAGAAGTGATCAAAATCATCCTGCGGTAACCATAGGGGGATTAGTCTGACTAAAATAACATCTAAAATACTAGCTTCTATAATTATCGAACGCCTAACAAAGACTCGTGAACTGCAAACACGAGAAAATCAGGCTGGCTTCAGAACTGGTCGTGGCTGCATCGACTACATATTCACTATTTGTCAGGTTTTAGAACACAGGCATGCTTATCGGGGTCCAACTATGATAGTTTTTCTTGGCTTAAAAGCAGCATTCAAGTCTGTAGACAGAGGTTCTTTGGCATTGTCTGTCATTGAAAAGCGTACCTCAGAAGTACATAAACGTTGTGAATTCTCTTTACTCGAACACTACCAGTCGAATCAGAGCTTATGGCGAGCTGTCATCTGATTTTGCAACCTCAAGTGGTAGCCGTCAAGGCTACCCACTATCTCCGTTTTTGTTCAACTTCATCATAGACATACTACTAGAAATAACATTCTTGTCGACTGGATTTTCGGACATTGATTTCCTTCTAGGAGGTCCACTTATCGACTTAGAATATGCATATAATATAGTCCTGTTTGTTGAAGACGCTGATGAGATGCAAAGTCTTTTGGAAGCACTGATCAACAATGCCAGTATGTTTGTTGCTTCAGAACTGGCCTGCGTCAACACCTGAACTAAGGATAGGGAGTGAAGTAGTTCAACGCGTCGAAAACTTCACTTATCTTGGGAGTCTGATCAGTCCTAATGAGTTGGTGTCTGACGAAATCTCAGCACAGGTTCGAAAAGTTCGTTTGGCTTTCGCCAACTTACGTCACCTATGGCAAAGGCGAGATATCCGTCTATCAATTAAAGGACGAGTATACTGTGCGGCAGTTCGTTGTGTTCTAATTTACGGCTGCCAAACGTAGAAGATACTCGTATTTCACTAGTAGTTGACCACAGATGCCGTAGAAATGTTGCTCACATTTGCTGTAATCACCGGGTAATTCATAGTGAGGTTAGACGCAGGGTATTAGGGAATAATGGTAATTCGGTTGATTAGGTTTTAAATCTTCATCGATTGAGATGTTCGAGCGACGTGTTGCGTATGCCTGAACACCGGTAACCACGACGTGCAATGCTAACCGGTGTTGGGAATGGTTGGAAGAAAGTTAGGGTTGGCCGAAGGCAACGTAGCACCAGCGCTCGAAGTCACTAACTTCTAGTCTGAGCCATGTTGGTAGATGCAGACTACTTGGTTGGGGTCCGAGCGGCTGTCGTAACCAATAGTTGGAGACTCTGGGTGGTATGGCTCAGAATAGATCACAATGACATAGGTGTATACACTCTCTTTCTTCCCTTAAACTATGAGATTAAATTTGATTTATATTTTTCTACCAACTAATTCTTTCTGTCTGTACTATATCCTTATACACAATCTTTCTTTTATATATTACTATCATTGAATTAACTACTATCAATTCGGTGTTCATCTTGTTGTGCTAATGGGGTATGGCAACTTGAACCGATGCATATATGTGACTGGTCCTATGTTGTAGCTGACTGATTGACTGGAATAATTTATTGTCCGAACGTTCACACCCACCTTTTAAGTTAGAAATCATCTGACATTAAGCTTACGGTACTAAATCACTCAACTATTGTGTTATTTCAACAGCTCTTTTTGATTTCAATATCACGTGTTTGCTTTGAAACGAAAAGTGAACGAAGTTTTCGCCAGCTGATTATGTGTCTACCTGCTATTGGTTCGTGTTCCGATGATTCACTTATGTTCTAAAATGAATGTTCTCTAGAAAAAACACTTGAATACAGTCTACTGAAACCACTTGTTTCAGTTTTGTAACCAGTGGAGTGGTAGTTTGGTGACTAAAGTGTTTATATTTCAACCATTAGGTCACAGGTTCTAGTGTCACTCCACCTACTTCAGTTTGGGTAGCCAAGTATTATCACCAGCCCTCACACATGAAGTATGGTTCTGAGCCAAGTACAAGAATCTGCATCTTGTGGGTCGCGATTGTGTAACCATTTGAGTTATAGTGAAGCCTTTAGTTAACATTTGTAACTTTGCAACTGGAATAATTTTTTTTTCATTTCTGCATCGTTCAGCGAAAGACTATAAGATATCTCGATTATGAAAGGTGAGGTATTCATCTAACCAGGCAAGTCATCACTATAGCAAGGTGCTGACTGATTTTTACAGCTTGATAACGATCATAAGTATCAATAGTTTGAACACCACTTAATCCTACTATTCTGTCTTGCTATCATAAACCTGCAAATAACACGTAGTACATTACTGACTTCTACCTTAATTCATGGATTGAGATATCAAAACAATGAGCAAATCGCTTCTTTTAATCAGTTTTATATGGCATAAAAGAACAGTTGTCTACAGCTTTAAACACATCCGATAAACAAAATCAATGTACAGTATTCCACTCAATACTGCAAGAATACTTTAGTGAGACATTAGTGATTATTTCATATAGGCTTTTTGGTTACTTTAATGATCAACGGTTCAAATATTTTGATGCTAGTCAGGATAATTTTCTAGGCGTAATCTTGTCAGCATTAAAGAGTACCAGATACACGCATGTTAATTATTTGCGTTATCTAGTCGACTACTATTTTAAGTTGGTTCCGTCTTTTTATTCGTTCAATGAGAATGGAATTTACCGTTATTGTATGATATATGAAATCCGAGTTATACTTTTAATCCCGTATTCTGTACTTACGTATGTGACAGAACTCATAAAGTGCATATATACCACTTAGTTTTCGATGGGAATCATTTTGGAGACGACTAATTTTGTCTCTGACATTAGTGATCACTCCTGATTTCTTACAGTTACATTTAAAAGGTAGTGGACTTTTTTGTTCAAAATTGTCAACGAAACCAGATGTCAGAATATATCCAGTTCTGATGGACAGAAATTCTCGGAAAATATTTGATGTAAAGGTTAGTAGGCTGAAAATTTGATTGTCATAAACTATTAACCCACATGATTTTTTTTAGAGATGTTTTTGTTAGGCACCTTCAGAATATAATTTCACCGGCGAAAATAAGTCGGTGACACCATAATTTACCAGTTCAAAACGTACTACTTGTTATCAATAAGTAACACATTAAGCTTTAACAAAGTTGACGTTAACAATGTGACGTATTGGGCTGATTTTACCTAACCTATATTTTCTCATATCTCTGACCCAACGTTTACATAAAATAACTATTAGCCGGGTCAGTTGTTTTCACTTTCCGCTTTCATAATATTTATGTATGTGAATCAGATTCTTTTTCACTCACCACATTATGGTTTCCCTTATCTAGATCGAGATCCTGTGTTTAATAACTACAACAAACTTAATATCATCACAACTTCGTGTTCAAAGTCTGCTTACAGCTAAGGGTATGTCGTATTTTATGGTTTTCAGTCATAATTTACGATATTTTTCTTTTTATTCACTTTCCTATATTACACTTTATTATTTAGATTTTCTGTAAAATGTACTACAAAAACTACTCATCAAAATACTTTTATTAATTAAAGTATATTATTATTCACTCCTGTTTATTATAAATTCGCTACTCTCAACTAAACTATGTAACCTGTTTATGAAAGTTGGCTTCGCACAGATACTGTCACACAAGTAATTCAATGATCAAGGTTTACGGTCCAGTTTTTTATGAAATAATTAATCAGTTAACATTTATTAAGCCTGCTGATTCTGTGGTCATCATAGTCTTTTCTGAAAATATCTGATGGTAAAATATCGTCAAATAATAATTATTTTTAGCATCAAGTATTGATTGATATTACTGACATATGTAGAGTGTTTTTCCCAGATCCAAGTACATAACGTAACCACAGTTTAGGTTATGCTGAATCTTCTCTATCATAATAAATATCAGGAAAAAAACATGCTATTCGATTAATATGTTGCCTCATGGTATCTAGAACTTAAAATTTGTCAACTTATGGTGAAATGTTAGCGATTAAATCTAGTGAACCAGTAATACAAGTTTATGTACCTACATCGATACGTAATTCTGTTTGTGATACTTTGTGTTTTTAAATCCGCTCGAGGTTATATTTTGTCTCTTTGCTTACTGTTAAGATTATTTTTATTCCAAATAAACCAATTCTTGTTATGCCCCCAAATGCTTTGGTACGGGCGAATGTGCGAAGAACCTATTATCACTCTCAAAATATTTACATATAGTCACGCATTAAAAGCCACAGCCCAGGATGTCCCACTCGCTGCGTTCTCGAGGTGGAGATGTCGTTTTGGAAATTGAAAGGACAAAACGCGAATGTTTTCCTGTTTAACTGGGTTGGTGGGTATAGAAAATCTACCTAGGGTAGTTGAAAAACATTAGACGAAAGAATAGTTGTATAATTTTGGATCGTAGCCTCTACAATGACGGTTAATGGGTCAATGTCAAGCAACGAAAAACTTACCCTCTTTATGACATTACGAGTTAGGTGAACTCGACACAACATGTGGTGCGAATTGGGATACACCGGCGAAATAGCAGCAGCTATTGTAGATGAGTCATCAGTAACAATACCAAGCAGCTCTCGATTGTTAGTTGACCGATGGAAGAACGACAGGAATTGATAAATCAAAGTAAATGTTTCATGACTTATAAATGCAATACAAACAGGTATTGCCATGAAGTTCATATCCAGTGCAACTACCTGATACAAATATAAATCCTCGTTATTGGTTTTGCAGGTCCTATCAAAACCAACAACATCAAAAATACGAGTTGATAAATTCATTTGATCCGCAATTATGAAGAAGAAATACAACAGACAATTTTCTTCATCTAATTCGTAATCACAAAACCCACTAAGCGACATGATGTGAACTTTCAATCTGGCGTAATCACCTATCGTTTACAATATAAATAGGTAGACTGCTTACCAGGAAGGTTGGCCTGTGAAAAGACTTTGTGACGCATGTTAAAAACATCTTGATCATTCAAGCGCTTTCTATAATATTGTTAATCAAAGTGTATAATATCGAATACTGCTATCCCATATCTCAAAAGTGGTCACGCTGTTTCAAACTCAGCCTCCGTTAGCCTGCGCATCCAATAATTACTGCCGTACTTCAGGGAATTGCACTCGTGATTGTAATGCACACTCCCACGAACAACAGTCAAATAACCTTCAATAAAGTTACAAAAGATGAAGGCAGGACATTAAGTGTTCATTGAAGTCCTTCATGAACATAATAATAACACTAATCAAATTACCTCTTTCGTCTAATCGGCTGTGAGGAATCGCTAGGTGTTCTACGACCATTTCTCCAACATACAAGTTTAATATACGGCTTCTGATCTCTATGGAAATGAAAATCTCTCACCGCATAATGGCAGTACGTCGCTCTTTCATAAGTTCTGATGGCACTCTTTAACGCTTCAAGTGATTGGAACACTACGAGATACAATGTATTCAAGAATACGTTATCTGTTTCTGTGACAATGTGAGAAACGACAGAGCTTGTACTTCGTACGTTACTATCGTCCATATTTCGAAGAAAAGGTGCTCTGTCGACAAGTAATTACATTTTATACCAATTTTAAGAAATAAATAACCAATTATAACGAATTTAAAACTGATCATTTTATTGGATGATACAGTTTTTCAAAAGGGATGAAAAAAATTAAATAAAAAAATACAAAAACTGCCGTGCGTCTAATGATATTCAAGAAAAGCGAGAACATAAAGGTTATAATGATAACAGTATAATAATCATGAAAAATTAAAGAATAATAATTACTGACTACGGTTCAAAATTACAAAACATTAATTTAAAAAAATCGAAAATAATTGAAAAAAACTAAAATATACTGCAAAAGACAATTAAGACCAAATAAGGATGAGAGGTTGAACGTATCGTTTTGGCACTCAGAGTTCAGGCTTGAGTTGGCGGATTGCCAATGCCACAGCAGTGTATAGGTTTTTGATTCGACCTCCCTTCGATCCAATTCCTTTTACTGTGATTATTTTAAAAGACTTCTTCAAAGCGATGTGTCCAGAGTTGATTAAACACTCCTGTATCGAACTGGTAATTGTTTTGCATTCTCTTATTAAAAGCCATGCCGGGTACTGTTCTGAAATGCGTTTTGAAAGTGATCGGTTTGTGTGGCCAATGTAACCTGCCCCAAGTAAGTAAATTTATAGATGTACATTGATACGAACAAAGCGGAAGTTTATCCTTAACACACCCATGAATGGTGTGCCGGTTTAAGAAAACAATACGGAGCTTAGCTGAGTAAAACGTTTCATTCAGGGACTTTAAAGTCTATTTATTCAAAATTTCCACAGCTATATCTCCTTTAAATTCGATATTCGTAAAAGAATTTTCTTTTGAAATGTTAGTACTTTTTCCGGATGTTGTCTAGGTGTTAAGATCTTATGAACGAATCTTTTTTTACCATTTTTTAAAAAATTTTTTTAGAATTTGTGTTTTGTAATTTTAAACCGCAGTCAGTTATCATCATCCTTTAGCAATTTTTCATGATTATTATTCAGTTATTATTATAACCTTTATGTTTTCGCTTTTCATCATATCTGTCGAGTGGACGATTATCTTTCATAATTCTGACCCGCAAGTTATTTTCATTTTTAAATTCTTCTCTTACCCCTTGATTGTTACGTAACCTCATTTGATAATAAAACTCTCGAATTAAGTCATAATGCGATCTTTCCTATCCTATAGGAATATATTTACCATACAACTATAAATACAGATGACAACCCACGGTAGTTGGTGACTGAAGGCAGGTTCACATTCCATTTGTACCCTTGGGTCACGGACCCAATGTGCAACAGTGGTTTGGAATCCAGGTTTTTCAACTACCCTATGTAGATTCTCCGTACCCACCAACCCGGTCAAAGCGCCAAACTTTCGCTGCGTTAAAGTCTCCTTATTTTTTAGCTTAATGATAGCTACTTTTTGTTTAGCTCATATACTTTTTGGTCGCTCTGCGTACCAATGTTTATGTGTTGAAGTATAATAAATAATAATAAGATCCTTGTTATACGCTATTTTTAGTAATTTTCTAATTTTTTCAAACATTGTTTATATTTGCGAAATTAGTCATGCAACGTGAGATCGGAGCAAGTAATTTTATAGCCGTTTTTTTAAAGTTTCTACAGTGATATTAGATTTGTGTGTAATTAAATGGAAGCCTTGCAATCTTTGTGATTATGACTTGTTGAGAAGTTTGTTTTATCCTTTCAAAATCATATACTGATTTATTAGACTTTTGATATAGTTTTCGTTATTTTCACTTCTGTCATGCTATTTAAATAAATTATTATTAATTAGATTTTCGTTACTACTTAATTTCTTCGTCTGAAAAATATTGTATTCAATTATTTTTATTTCTTTACTGTTTTACTTATTTTTTCACAGATACTTTAAATAAACAGATTTCCCGTATGGTTCTTCCCTTGTTCACTGGAATTATTTTATTGAATATGCACACAGAATTTTTTAACACTTTGAACAATATACTCAGTTACTTGCCCATATTTACTGTGCATTTTCTAGTCTTTTTAATCATAGTTTCAGTTACATTGCTTAGATACTATCACCAAACAATGAAAACAGAACTATTTCTGAAGGTAGGTTACACTTGAAGTTTTGTATATGTATATGTCGCATTATGTGTATCATGTTCTTTTTGTTTCATTGAGCAAAATATATTAACTATGCATGAAAGCTAATGCATATCTTTCTTTCCTTTGTATGATTCATAAGACAGTCGTTTCCTCGTCTAAGTATTTAATCTTATTCTGTAACTTGACCATTATATAAATCGGCTCATATTTGTCTTGTAACTCGTACTTTTTTATTTCGATTTAAATAATACTCTTGTCTTAATTTTAATCTTCATTTCATCCAACATCTTGTCTACGCTAAAAAAATTTAAATATGTAAACGATCTGTGCTGTTGAGAGTAATAATTTATGTTCTTATTCAGAACAAACCCCAACAGTTTTTTTCGGCTTTAATATCCTGTAATTACTATTCTATTTATCGGCATCGTTTCATTTCATTTCTTAGCGTTTGATCGTGCCAATAATTTTTTGCATTCATAAATAACCATACACCAATCTTCTAAGTTCTAACTGGTACCTATAGTTCTAGCTCAGTATATGATTCATCGAAGTATCTCAGTATCAACTGTATTGGTGAATACAGCAAGAGAGACTAAACACTGGCACATTAACATAAAATTCTGTTTCATAACAAGCCTTTCTGATAAAAAAATGAAATTATTATTTTTACTATGGTAGTTTTGATAGTTCATATCTTATCAGTTCATAACTTACATGGACTACTATTCGTTATTTGTAGTTGATGTCAGCAATACTATGTGTTATGATCATTGGACTGTATTGGAATAACCTTTCGAATGTGTTCAGAATTTCTCGGTAAGTTCTACAGTATCATTGCTAGGACTATTACTTTGTCTCTTTGTGTGAGGTATTGTAGTAAATTTATTCAACAGGCATCATTTCATAGAATTTTTACCAATAACACCCACAATCTCTTGTCGAAGTCCCCCTAATTTATCATTTTCATAAGTTAATTAAGTATATTTACATTCTACTTATATTGTAAAGTGGTATAGGTTGTCAGGAGCTTGAATAAGTAGTTAATACACCTTTTCATTTTAAATCAAGTCATACCTCTTAATCCGCCCTCTGTTTTCCTGTCTCAGCTAGCTTGTCATTTGGCATTTATTATGATTATTCGTTAACACTGCTGATGTGAATTCCTACATAGATACATAGTTTATCTACACTGGATTTTTGTCTAAAAATCTAACTAATCAGTTCGCATATTATTATCGCTAAGTTCTAATTTTTTAATCTTCATATGAATTTCGGTAAAATTCTACAATTGTCTACCTCAAAAATATGAAACTAGTTCAGAAAATTTGTAAAAGTCCCGGTTGGATGTAGAATGTAAATACGAATTAGCTTCCTAACGGTCCCGTAGCTTTTTCGTTAAAAGCTTTCTTTTATACATGGTCTAAACAATTTTTATATTTAGTTGTCGTTTTTTATAGTACCACTATTTTCCAAGCTTGATATATTACCTTCAAATGTTGATTACTTCAATTGTTGAATTTCCAAATCCCTCCTAGGATTTCTGATGTTGGTTCATAAAGCTCCTACTCCTAGTGGTTTATTTTAACGGTTATGTCAAACGATTCTATTATTGATTTCTAGATTTTGGTCAACATCTTTCTTATTGATTTCTAAGTTTAATTAAATTAGCTCGTTTTTCTTTCATGACCTATTTAAACATTTATTGTTTGTTTCATTCCAGGCAGCCTTTCTGGAGGAAGAGATCTATAAATCATTTGTTTTGGAGTGGAATTGTTAGTCTCATATTTTCGGTACTAACAATGTTTGCTTATGAATATGGGAATCAAGAAATATTTGATATAATCTTTGGTGTTTCTTTATGCAGTAAGTGTTATCTACTTTTTTGTGCTCGTTTTCTTAAACGTAACATTTATGTATTTATTTGAACACATAAATATTGGTATAATGGGGCACCGAATACATATACGCCACACAATTCACTTAATTTGTGTATGGGATGTGATACTACCCGGGTACCCAGACCGAAGCAGGTAAACGTAACATATTAATGTTGAGCTGAATTGCCGTTTGAACTGGGAATCAATCTCATTTTCAATAAAATATACAGTTCCGTCCACTATAATAGAGAAGGGTTCACCATATTAGAGACAGTTATTGTTTTAGGTTGATCACAATAATGCACTCAATGTCCACCAACGTCAGAAGACTTCATCTCTCGAATATATATATTTATATAATTCTAAGATACTTATTAATTAGTTAAGGTTGGGAAAATACATTCAAGATGATAATAGTAACAACGATGACTAGTACATTTTGATTAGACGAATAATTAATACATTAGTCATTAAGAAGCGACGAGTTCATAATTTATTAACAAGTTGGTCGGATAAATATTTCTTCTCAATTAGTTCCTAATCAATTCTCCACACTATTACATCAGTTTTGCAATTAAAAGTAAAGTCACTACCAAATAAATGGTGGTTTGTCAATTTAACACTGTTGGGGGAACTAATTGAAAAGAAATACTACTATACCTGATTGCTGTTTTTTGCTGTATTAATAGAAACATTCAATATTACTGTAGTTTATAATCAGCCAATAAAATCCAAGTAATGAAATCGTAATTCCAATTATTATTTGCTCAAAATTGATAAGATTACACAAATATCACCTACTGGACCTCCAAAAGTGACTTCTGTCATTCATTGTATGGCACTCATATTCAGTTGATCATAGAAACGTTTTCAATATCAGAATGGACTTCGGATGAATTATTTTCCCAAAACTTTCAATTCAAGAAATTTCTTTTTCTGTTAGTGATAAACATTAAAATATTATTGTTGCATTTCAACTTAATAAGGGCACTGTAGCGTTTCAATTAATTCTGCATTTTGCAAAAGTTGAGTAAATAATGAACAGATATTCTGTTATGAATTAATCTTCAAAATTCACAGTGAAAAACTTTCGAGGATGAGTGGGTTCGATCGTAATCAACTGTGATGAGGATTGGTACGATATCGTCGAGTGGAGATAGTTGACTAATTTCTTCTTAAATATTACTTCGTTGGTGTGACATATGTAGACTTTTGAGTATCTCCGAAACCTTTTTTGAGTTGATTGGCGACTTCAGTCAAGAACTTCACAGTTACTGGCGTTAGTACTATTTTAACAGTTGTCGATTGTTAAGATGCTTGTGACGTGTCGGCCTTACTTTCGCAGCTATGTTAAGATCAGCTACCGTAGCAGTTACTTAAAAGCTTTATTAAACCAACTGCACAAAACTTTGGAAGAAAATTTTGATCACTAGCTACCATGAAACTGCATCTCCTAACGTTGCTCCACTGCTTAGATCTCTAGGTCAAAGGCTTGGGGTGTGCCCCCTCTGTTTCGGTTTGGGTGCCCGGGCATTATCCTAGCCCTCACACAAATCCATTCATTTATGTGGCACATTTAGTGTTTCCTTGAACCAATGTTTATGTGTTGAAATAAATATTGTAGGTAAAATCATTGTAATTATTTTTACCATGAAACTATATATTCGAGTGTACAGCTTAAGTGAATGATTTCATCGAAAAGAAGATTTTCCTCGGTGAATTTTTTAAATTCTTATCCAATAACACAATAAGTTGTTTTAATTATTTTTTATTAAACTGGTCACTTTACTAAATATCAGGGTATTACATATTATACAAATGACCTGAGCTTAGAATTTGTATTGAGTTGTGTACACATGATTGTTCAATCATAAAGCTATTGATTTGTTTCGCGGCAATTTGCTCATTTTTATTAATTCATTTTCCTTTTTTTAGTTCTACATTATTCCGAATGGTGTTTATATATGACCACTTATATTTCTGAATCCTGGCTGTACAATTCTTGCATAATCACTGTTGTGTCAGTATTACTGTAAGAATATTTTAAATGATATATATATATATAATCATGAGTCAATTGAAGCTAGACCACCATGGAAAACCTGGAAGCACTGGACGGCCGTTTTGTTCTAGTATGGAACTCCTCAGCAGTGCGCACTCACGATCCCATCCCTCTCGAGATTCTGACCCAGGACTGGATTGGTTGGAGTTAGACATTAACACTGTTGGATGCCGGCTGGCTCAGTGGTCTAATGGTTAAGCGCTCGCGCGTGAGACTGATAGGTCTTGGGCTCGAATCTCTCGGGAGGCGGGATCGTGGACGCGCGCTGCTAAGGAGTCCCATACCAGAACGAAACGGCCGTCCAGTGCTTCCAGGTTTTCCATGGTGGTCTAGCTTCAATTGACTCATGATTTCAGCTATTGAAATTTCTAAAATCTTCACAAGACCCCTTGTTATATATATATATATATATATATATATATATATATATATATATATATATATTCGTTTCATACCGGTAGTGTCTTCATTTCACCGGTTGTTATTTTTCATGTTGGAACTGTGTCAATATTGGGGCGATACAGAACACTTTTCGATAAAAGCCCAAAGGAGTTCTGAAAACGCTTGGAACCATTTTATCCAATCTACATTGAATAGAAGTTTCTCAGTAACATCTAGAAAGTAGAGTTTCGTGTCACATTTCTGATTCAACGATTACCTATCCCACTACTATGTTTAGTAGGGTTTCAGAAGCCCAAGACCATCTGAAATGTTATAAATACCCTCGATTTTTGGTACATAAACCAAACCTTGGAGTAAAGAGTTCTTTCGCCATTTCGCGTCTTTTCTCTCGTGTTCATGTTGTCGTATAGATTTACCTTAGGGTTATTAGAAGAGCTTAGGAAATCGATTCAAGCGTTCGGGTAAAATATTTATTAGTCAATCATTCAAGTTTGTTGCGTGAAGCAGTAGCATAATGAGAAATAGATTAGAATTTCAACCACCAGGGGAGTAATTGTCATCCTACAAATCCTGCTCTTCTCTCTTTAGTTAAATATATAAAGAGATTAAAATGAACGAAATTGTGGAAGATTTAAAAGGTTATTCAAACGTGTTTTAAATAGATGAGTATTCTTGAAGTTCATTGAAATATAATTTTCGAAACTGAAGATTCATTTCATAGGTTATGTAATACTTACAGATATGTATAGACTAACTGATTAGTGCTCAGAAGCAAGATATAGAAAATTAGAAATTATAGTTAATGTCACAGAGAAATAATTTCATGAAAACGAGGTCACCAAGGCAAAATAAGATTGGTAGCTAACTTATTAGATGCATAAATTCGGTTTAAATCTTTTCATCACAACGGCTTTAATGAAGTGCAATATTCTGAGTTTCTTTGTCTGTGGATTATGTTGAAACATTTTTAAACGTCACGTTCACTGTCAAGCAAATGACGAGCAATTACACTGTTGGCAGCTTTCTGTACTTTTGGTTACAAACTTTGCGAAATGTGCTCTAAGATACTTGGAGACATTAATGGTTCACTCTGTTCTTACAATGTATGTACTTGGACACATACGTACAAACCAATGAACACAATTTGTGATAACATATTGCAATGATTATTCCACATTTAACCGTTGTATTGTTGCAAGTGGGAGACCAGCTTGTGTTTTGGATACGTTCTTTTTAGTTTTACCCCGTATGTAACCTTATTCAAGATTTTTCTGGTAAAGTATATATACTTGCTTTTGCATGATCAATACTATTTTCTAGGTTGTTAATGGTTGAAGATATTCTACGGAGTAAATGAATTCGTATTATTCTGCTACAGTCGTTTTTTCTTTACTCAAGTTTCTCTAACTTTTTGTCTCTTGGTGTAGGGCAGCTGCATCTACAAACCGAAGACGTTTCATGAATAATTCCGTTTTAAATCGGAGTTTTCCAGTAAAAATTTTCAGTTGGAACGTTTTCGCTCCTTGTTGTTTAGTTCCAGCCGTCTTAAAACTTCTTTTACTGTGGATAAATGAATATGTCGATAATTCTACTCATCATAACACATTAAATCATCGTGTACATTATAATAAAGATTTTGTTCTGGGTTTATATCTGCTACTTTTGGGATTGTTTTGCAGCGAAAGGATTTATCAGCTTGGGAAACGAGTAGTTAATCGCCTTTTAGATTTTTATCCATTTTTCTCACCGGTTAGTTTCTTTCTGTTTGGTCATACATGTTAGAATGAAATATTTGACTGTCTTGTCCTATGTATAGTTCCTACTTACAAATTGCAAGTAGTATGAATACTAATAACCAATACTGTATTTCTGCATTATAATCAGCGTCACATCTTTAAGTCTACTCCACATTTTACTGTTTTGTGTTGTAAAGACCTCATAAATTATTACTAGGATTTGAGTACCTATGCATCCCGATATGTGATATTGCATTTCTTTCGTAGCTAGAAGTTATTTGTATTGTATATTCATCGTGATGACTGCAACTTAAAATCAAAATTTAAATGAATCATCTTTTTTAAATTATTCATATACATTCACTCCTGTAATAAGGTGTATGAGAAAACACACCTATCATTAACAAATTATCAAAAACGTGATTAGATAACCGAAATTATTATTCAAGTATTTACCAGTAAGCAGAATTCCTCGTTTATATATTTATTTGTAATCTTTAACTACTTAGTAGTTAACAAATGCAAACAATGTGTACCCGATTGCTTCATAGGTAGATAATGATTCTATTGACGCCCCTAAAGTTTGACACTAATGCATGGAACTACTTAGTTTTCAACATCCCTATTCTCAGTTACATATTTTCTTCGTCGAATTCTGTAGTCTTATAATTACTGATCGTTGGAGGAGTATCATATAAGCAGTCAAAGTTTGTATAACATTAGACAGTTCAGTTCTACTAAAGTATGTCAGAAATGATAACTATGAGTTTTTATCACAAAAAGGTGACAGTGAATAATTTGAATGAGAGTAAAAACACACTGTATTTTACATCCGTCATGAAGTTTTACTCTGTCATTTGTAATGTTTGATGTTCCGGGAGGATTAAAGAAACTATAATAATTATGAAAAAGCCGCTCATAAAACTGCATCTTAAAATGCAATATTTCATAACAATTGGATGTTAATTTCGAATTCATTTTCTGGGTGTATAAAATTAATTTATCAGTCCTTTTTTAACCGATAGTTTATCCATAGATATTTCGTCATAGGTGCATAATTTGAAAGTTTTCATCTGTAAAATGTTAAGTAAATTAAATTAACTTCTAGTATCGGTGAATAGTGTGTCAAGTATGGTATTCTGATATCAGTCTCAAAATAATGACTTTGAATATTAATACCAATTTTAACACTTGGCGGCAATCTCATCGCCTAGTTTACAGTTACGTATGTAATAGCTGCAATTACTTTGTAGTATAGGGCTGCAAAGATTACTGTATTCCATTGAAATCACAAACCGATCAAGGTTAGAAAACCGTTCTAAACCTATAAGTACTGGATGGGCGTTTCGTCCTTGAATAGGACTCCTCAGAAGTGCACAACCATCTGCATGGTGATCGAACCTAAGACCTCTGGTCTCGCGCGGCCGCTTGATTTCTAGATCATTAGGCCGGTATCCAGCGGTGTCAATGGCTAACTTCAATCAGTTCATAATATCGCCCAACCATCTATTGTCTTCGGTGGACAACTGCCTCACATCCGGCACGAATTAGCTCCACTGGTCACAACTTCTTACTTGGACTCTGGAAATTTCTTTTCGATGCTGGGCACTAGTAACCACATGATAATTGTAAGTAAAGGGTTGTGAAAATCGTTGAATTTAATTGAAATTCAGAACCAGCCTATAGGTTAAGCGTTCGCTTGCTTGACCGAAGGTCATGAGTTTGAACCCCGCGCAGGGGCTCGTGAGTGCGCATTGTTGAGAAGTCCCATACTATAATGAAACAGCCACTCAATGCTCCTAGGTTTTCAATGGTTTTCAACTTAGATCGGTCCAGAATTTCAATGAAATTGGTTTATTTTCGCATATTTTCACTTGTTACGTTCTTATGATATTGAAGTTATAACCATTAAAGGACGATACAGATGTACGTTAGTATGCATGATTATGGTTGAATAACTTTTGTTGAAAATGAAGTGATCCACTTACTCCTTTTTTGCAGAGTCGTATTGCGATTGGATCAATAATGATGGTGGGGTATTTTTGTACCGCTATCACTTTAGTCTGGTCCCAAGTGATGTTACTTTCTAACGTGGATACTGATCTATTTCTTACTTCAAATATTTATATTCTTATTCAATTTTGTAAGTTATCTTGTTTTCTTTTTGTAAATTTAAAATATATGATAGAAAATGTAGCCAACTACCTTGAATTTTATCCTTCAGCGTTTTGAAATGTGCTTCCTTTGAAATTTCGCGAAAGTGACCACCATTTCATCAAAGTATTTGTCATTGACTTTTATAATTGATTGATCACTGGGTGGTGATCAGTGTCGTGTATGTCAGGTCCTTCATTCATTCAGTCAGTAACAACGTAGAACTTCGTACGTACGTACATCGTTCGAGTTGCCACACCACATTAACACAGCGATGCAGTTGTCGATTCAAATCCCGCACTGGTAGAGGTGGTAAGAGTATAAGCAAAAATCGAAAAGATTAGGGTTTGAATATGTTATTCAAGAAGTATAATCCAGTGAAATAATTTTGGAAAGAGAAAAAAGAAAGGGACATGAAGAATTCAGAAGATTAGAATTTGGGAGGACACAAAGAGTGGATGCACCTGCGCCATTGCAAACGATTTGGAGCCATGTCATTCAGAGTCTCTAACCCTCGGTTGCTATCATCTCGCGGTCCCCAACCAGGTAGTCTACACCTACCAATATGACTTAGTCTACTTGTCAGTGATTTCATGGACTTGTGCCATGTTTTGGCCTGGCCGCCCCTAGCTTTCTTCCAACCTACTCCTATACCACTGAACATCGCACGTCGAGGCAGTCGGTCGTTGGGCATACGTAACTCATGTCCCAGCTATCTCAACTGATGAAGTTTCACTACGTCATCAATTGATTTGCCATCCTTATCTAGTACCCGTTTTCTAACAACTGCATTACTTACTCGATGGTCCCAGGATATACGAGCAATATTTCGAAGACACCTATGATCAAATACTAGTAACTCACGGATATCCTCTACTCTTAATGGCCATGTTTCGCTGCCGTGAATTAAAACAGAACGGACTGCCGCTCAGTATACTCGTTCTTTTATTGATAGACGGATATCTCGCCTTCACCATAGGTGACGTAAGTTGGCAAAAGCCAAACGAGCTTTTCGAATCCGTGCTGAGATTTCGTCCGATACCAATCCATTAGGGCTGATCAGACTTCCAAAATAAAGTGAAGTTGTCAACGCGTTCGATTACTTCACTCCTTATCCTTAGTTCAGGTGTTGACGCAGACCAATCCTGAAGCAACAACTTGCATTTAGAGGGAGAGAAGCGCTTCCCAAACATTCTGGCATTGTTGCTCAGTGCTATCGAAAGACTCTGCATTTTATCAGCGTTTTCACCAAACAGGACTATGTCATCTGCGTATTCTAAGTCGATAAGTGGACCTCCTGGAAGGAGATCAATACCCGAGAATTCAGTCGACGAGAGTGTTATTTCCATCAGTAGATCTATGATGAAGTTAAACAAAAATGGGGAAAGTGGACATCCTTGACGGACACCACTTGAGGTTGCAAAAACAGATGACAGTTCGCCATAAGCTCTGACTTGACTGGTAGTGTTAGAGTAAAGAGCCTTTACAAGGTTTATGTACTTCTAAGGTATGCCTTTCAATGACAGACACTGCCACATAATCTCGGGGTCTACCGAGTCAAATGCTGCTTTTAAGTCAAGAAAGACCACCATTGTCGGATGCCGATAAGTATGCCTGTGTTCTAGAATCTGACGAATGGTGCATATGTGGTCGATGCAGCCACGACCAGGTCTGAAGCCAGCTTGGTTTTCTCGTGTTTGCAGTTCACGAGTCTTAGTTAGGCGTCTGATTATTATTGAGGCTAGTATTTTAGATACTATATTGGTTAAACTAATCCCTCTATGGTTGTCACAGGATGATTTTAACCCTCTCTTATATATTGGGACGATAAGTGATTGTGACCAGTCAGATGGAATAACGTCTAACTCCCAGATCTTAGCTAAAATATTAGTCAACCTAACCGCTAAAATTGGACCACCATCCTTAAAGACTTCTGGAGCCAATGCATCTGGACCAGCTGCCCTTCCTCGTTTCAGATTAACTATAGCCTTTTAAACTTCTGCTAGAGTTGGGGGACCTACTTTAATGTTCCATTCACACTGTCTGGGAATGGAGGGTAGTCGTAGAGTAGCTGAAGGCCAGCTAAACGTTTCTCTGAAATGTTCCGTCCATTGTTCTAAACGTCTGGACTGGGAGCAGATGAGGGTGTCGTCTTTTTCCTAAATAGTCTGACTTACACTTGACTTATCAATTCCAGTTTCTTTTATTAGTCTGTAGAGCTGTCTTGTGTTCCCTATAGTCGCCGCCTTTTCCATTTCTTTTGCTTTCGTTGCCCACTACTGCTCATGGTCGTTCCTTAGACTTTTGGTTAACCTAGATCTCATTTGTTGTCGCTCTTTATCGTGTTCGGAGCCTGATGGGATGAGTTTACGAGAATCCGTCAGTGCAATAGACCTTGAGGAAATCCATTAGTTCTTTGTAACCTTGTGGTTTAAATCATTAACAGAGGTCACTGCTGTTTCTACAGCTGCTTGTATATCTTTCCAAGCTACATCTGGATCAACCTCGTTTTCAGAACTACCTAATTGTGACCTCAGTTGTTCCTGGAACCTACTTTTGGTTTTCTTGCTACTCGATTCAGTTCTAATGGGTTCTTTTTGTGCGGCTTTTTTGCGTCCAGCGAAACGCAAGCAGATGCGTGCCCGTATTAGGGCGTGGTGGAAGTCCAAGCAGGTACTCCAGAATGAGCGACAATCTTCTACCGGCCCTCTCCAACGATGACTGATGGCAATATGGTCTATTTGAGTCCATCGTTGGTTTGGTGTAGGGGGTCGCCATGTTAGACGATGTCTCTCCTTATGCTTAAAATTTGTGTTTGCTAAAAATAAACGATTGTCTGAGCATAGTTGCAGCAGACAATCACCATTATCTGTTCGTTGTGCCGGTATACTAAAATACCCACCTAAATGCCTTTCTGTTTGGTTTAGACTGCCTATCTGGGCATTAAAGTCACCTGCTATGAGTACTATGTCTGAACGTTTAGCTTTCTGAAGAAGTTCAGATAGCTTTCTGTAAAATTCATCCTTCACTTCATCTGAGCTGCAGTCAGTGGGAGCGTAGGCAGAAACGACAAACAAGCCACGACGTGTTTCCCTATCCTTCCGAGTTCTTACGTAGCCGTTTTGCCGAACAGCACATAAACGACTGTTATGAATGCAGTGGTCTTGAGTGCTGTTAGAGGTATGAGGGCGGTTATCACTTCCCGGTTGCCCACACGGTGGAAGGGTTGTTCTGGAGGTACCTGAAAAGGAAATCGGATTAGAAGTGGTCTTAGTGACCTGAGAGCGTGACCGCAGTGCCCAAGGGACAACTGCTTGAGGTCGGTCACACACGACCTTTTTATGGGTAATTTTTGTGTTAGCTCCGTACTTGTTGAGACCTTACCGCCGGAGACGGATATCCGTGGGATAAGGCGAGGTGTGCATTTTTAGGGTTGACCTTTTCTAACTCCACCCTTCTTTGTGGGAAGGCAGCATCGTTGTTATGCTGGCTGTCTGAGTGAAACACCTTACTGCTGTCACACCTCTGTACAGTCAGCAGTAGGACTTCGCCTTCGGACCTTGGGTTTGTTGCTTTTAGTCTTACCGCTCTTCAATCGACCTTTCTGACGTAGTAGGACCTTGAGGAACAGTTGTTCCAGCCAGTATAGCTCGGTTGCTTCATCACAATAGGCAGGTCCTCTGCTACATGTATTCGTGTGTTTGTTACTTAGCTATTGTTTTTCCAGTTCGTCTATGTTTTCAGAAATGTCTGACTTGCTTTTTTAATTCCATCCATGTTATTTCCACTTTTAGTTTAAATTATTATATTTTTCATTCCGTAAATCGTTGTAAAACTCCTATACCCCTTATTATTCATTGTCTTTTTATTGTTTTGTGTTGCTGTTTTAGCTATTTCATGTCTGGTGACCAGTTTAGCCTTAATCCTACCTTCGGTATTGAATTTAAATCCAATAAGCTGTGAAATGTATGGTTATTCTCGTAATTTTGCTAAAATTGGTTTATTACTTTTAGCACTAACTTTTAATTCAATTCAGCTTGATCTTAATTTGTTTGGGTATGTTATTACTTTTTTGTCTCACCATATGTATGTATATATGTAATTTAAAAAGATTATATTTTGTGTTCAAACGCTATCTGATTACTATTTGATCTTTTTCTTAGCGTTGTTTTAACTAATTTACGTAGCTGTTTAAATTGTTCCTGGCTATTAACAATTATCACCTTTCTGCTAGGTATCTGGGTTATGTATATGTCTGTGGATTATCTACTCAGATGATTCTTGTGGGCTTAACGTGGTTTGGAACAATAGCCGTGTACTTATATATGCTGTGACAATTTTTGTCGTAATCCCAAAGGTGTCTTCGCATAGCAAGTATGACCTTCGACTTAAGGATAATAATAAATTTGACATCGATGATTACGGAAAAATCAATGGATGCTTTAATTTAAAACATTTCTTTACCTTTCTTACAGCAATTATTGACAGTACGAAATCCGTATATGCTTTCAACAAACCCTTAAATTTCCAACTGAACTACCATATCAGGAGTAATACGGATGTGCTAGCCCCAACAATGTGATTTCCCACACCTAATTACTTTGTAGTTGTTTTCCTTTCTCGTGCTATCACAGCAAACAGAGCTTTATTCTCATTCTTATTAATCAGCTCAACTCAGAAATGTTTTTGTATTCTTGACTTCCGGTTAGGTGTTCTACTCGATAATTTGTGGAACTGATTAGTACCGAAGATAGCTTCCTTAACTAGCTTTACTACTCAACAGAACTGTAAAGAATGTTCCTTCTGTTCGATATAAGGACTAATAGCTTTCAAACCATCCTCTTCATCACGGCGTTGGCTTTATATTATCACCTCTAGCACTTTGTATTAGGTCGTTGTGAGTTGCTACTATGTTGAAGTTTAATAAAACTTTTCAACATGGGCGCTATTTCTTCACATACTACAATCAATTTAAGATTTCTATATTTTTTGCGAACTTGCAACGTAACTTCATTATCGAAAGTGGGAATAATGAAACAAAAATTGTTTCTGATGTTACATTTTTAATGATAAACAAATCTCTAGCTATTTGTAGATCCAGTTATTTAGGTTTTTGTTAGCATTCTTCATTCAAGTTCATGGTTTTTCCAACAAACTGTGGAAGTGAAATATCACTACCACTCATTCGTTTTACATGTATCAATATTCAACTGTTGTGGTAAGTGTTAGGTGATCACTCGTGACATATATCCCAACCGCCGCAGTCGATGAAAATTCACTACCTCATTGGATGACTTGCCACTTTTGCCTAGAACTATATGCTTTTCGTCTCACGAAACGCAAAACGTGCTTTGAAGACACTTATGATCAAATGCCTACAACTTATTCATGTCTTCTATTCTCAGTAACCATGTCACATGGTCATAAAGTAAAAAGTAGTGTAATGTGGTTGGAAGACATACACTTGGTCTGCCTCAAAGGTGAAGTAAGTTGACATAAGAAATTTGCAGTGAAAAAATCACATGATAAATAGGTAACAGCATAATACTGGTTCATCTGTGTTCTATGATGAATTTCTAATAGTTTTCGTCAAACAAATTTGATTACCTCAAGAACCCTTTCCTAGTGGCTATAGACTATCGGGAATTTGTGAAAAGTACTTGTATACTTCAAGCTTGTACACACTTTGAATCCAGTCAGTCGTCTCGTATTCCTGTCTAAATTGCCTACAGATATACTACAATCAATGAACTTACTTTAGCGCATTAAGACTGGTTACTGTTTACGTTTGTACACTGCTCTGCCTACTGTCATTTTTAATCATTTTTAAATTTTTAATAGTTGAAAATGATAGTAGTTAGATACAATGGACATAATCGAATATCTTAAAGTTTTTTTTTGCTGTTCAAAACACCAACATTTATATAATGTGAAATCAGACCTAACATCATCATATCATCACTAGTCAATGAGCAACACTTCATTCAAAATTGTAACAATCCTATCGTATTCATCAGCAAAGAACAACAACATATTAGAACCATAATGCGTAACAGTTGATGAAATTAACTAATTATGTGTTTCTCATATCACATGGGCCACGTGTTACATATGCCCAACTACCGATTACCATGGTGCGCAATACTGACTAGTGTTAGAGACGGACGGAATAAAGTTACGGTTGGCCAAACCAAAAACGTGGCATCAATCCATTAAGTCATTGACTTCTCGTCCGAGCCATGTTGGTAGATGTAGACTACTCGGTCGGGGTCCACGCGACTCCGTGTTTAATCATCGTTGTCTCCGAAGGATTGCTGACATCCAGTGGCAACACCACTTAGTAATGCAGAGGTTTGGCATCGTATGTTCGGGTGCAGAGACGATAATTCAATTGGTGTCACTATCTTGAAACATCGACTTCAGTGGCTTGGACATATTCTACGAATGTCGTATTATTTGCCGATGCTGGGACTGATTGTAGAAAGCAGAGAGGTGGTCAGTGTTTGACATAGTGTCGTGGCATGAAAGAACACTGCCCAGGACTGGCTTCTGTTGGTCCTTCATGACTCCCTGGTTGGGGTCCTATAGATGGTGCAACTCAGTGGCTAGAGACGTTATCAGATATGGCTCATAATTATTTTTTATTTACTTATTTTAACACATAGATATTGGCACAAGGAGGTACCAAATACATATGCGCCACACAGATCTCATTTGATATGTGTGAGGGCTGTGATACCGCCCGGGTGCCCAAACCGAATCAGGTGGTTTTCTTAGGGGGTCACACCCGGAGCCTTAGACCTGAAGGTCTGATCCACAAGGCAGCGGATCATCGTAAGGCGATGCAGTCCCATGGTAGCCGGTGACCAACGATTGGTTCATACGCCATTAATTACTTCAGGATACTGGAGCCCATGTTCACCATTGGTTTGGAATCAGGGTTTTCCAACTCCCCAACTCTCCATGTCCACCAACCCGGTTAAGGCGCCGTACATTCGCTTTTCATCCTCTCAATTTCGTAAACAACACCCGCACCACGAGAAGGCAGTGAGTAGGACTTCCCTGGCGAAGGCTATATACGTGTGGCCATGTGAGAGCATTTGGAGAGGGAGGGCAGACTCTTCCCACTCTCGGCCGTACCAGGGCATTTGGGGGCCCATAATGGAAGCCAGTGGCGATCCTGCTCTAATTTTTTACTTTCTACATAAAAAGTGGCCGTAACTTCTTTAACTGAAAGAATTCTTTCTGGTTGTATCTTTCTGTTTCTCCTATTATTATTATTATTATTATCATTATTATTATTATTATTATTTCACTACCATACAGTAATTTGCGCTCCTTATTGTTCTTTATTTTGTTTTAATACGCACTTTACATTCTTTATCTCTTCCCATTCTCATTATTATTGTGTGGCGCATATTTATGTGTTCAAATAAATAAATAAATAAACTCTTCCTCTCTGTATCATATCCTTATATGAAATCTTTTTTACTACCATTGAACTAACTACTTCTATTAATTCGGTACTCATCTTGTTATGCTAATGAGGTATGCATATATATATGCCTGATCCTACGTCGTAGATTACTTGACTGCCTGACTCTCATATCACAATATGTAACTGATTCTATTACTATGTTGATTTTCATCAATCTGGTACAATTTCCAGATAAAGACATTTCAGTTCGAGTTGCTATCTGGTTAACCAGTTAACTCCTGTATGTGTATATCTGTAAAACTAATTAAAAAATTAAATCTCATTACTATAACAACAACTATTATTGTCATTTTCATGATTGGTACTATGATTGTTAATCTGAGAAGTATGCTTAAGTTCTTAATAAATCATATTTGAAAATTCTCTAATCAACAATTATGGTTTTTTTGTGTTTTGTTTTTTACTTCACGAAAATATTTAGTGCTGTTGTCTACGTCGTAACTATTCCTACATGTATATTATGCATAATCTGGATGATATGTTTATTCTCTTATGCAACATTGGAATTATATTCTATTAGTGTATTTGTGTATGCACTTCAGAATGTGATTTATCCTGGTTTATTCATTCTGTCTGTTTCATTCACCTCTATGATATCAGTAAGTTGATCTACTTTATTTTTTTTAATGATAAATTAATAGCTTTTGTTTAATTGGAAGATGGGTTCCATCATAAATTGACATCGTTTTTCTAACTGCTGAGAACTAGGTTTATTGACAAATAAATGGTTTTGACTTTATCAGAACTATGACATTTCCCATAGACGTAATCAGTTCCCGGACATTACAATCTTATATCTGTTTGTGGTCAAAATGACCTTCGAAATTTATTGATTATTGACTACACTTCGTATACCTACATTTACTTGTGTACGCTTATATTATAGTATTTAATCTGATCTATTTCGAATAGTATTTGAATTATTGTAACTCATTTTTTACTGCAGCTAAATTTTAACTTGTTTCTTTTTTGTCCTAATGACTGAATTCACACGATGCACCTCGATAACAAATAAGATCTAATATTCTCGGAACAGTGATTTGCGATGCACGTTGCTAACGGTCACTGGAGATTTTCCGGACACATGTATAGCTTGCATTACCTTTTGAATTCTCTCTCGTTATCATTTCATTTAGAAACCTTTAACTTGGCCTGCATAACAAGATGTGCAGTGATCATTATTTAAATACTTTTGACAAAATCTTTTTTCGAACGCTTCGTAAATTTGTTACTTTATTATTTTCCATCGATACCTTAATTACTTACGTACTTATGCCTATTACTCCTTGTGGAACGTACGACCCCCATCACGAATCTCCAACCAACTCTGACCTGGACTCTCCTTTCCAGTTATTTCCGAATGCTATTCACTGCTCTGATTTCTGCCTCCCATTCCCAACTCAATGTGTTCTTTGGTCTTCTTCTTTTGCTTAAAGTTTGCTTTGTGATGCAGTTTGATCGCAGTGTGTGCCCTGTCCACCTCAAGCTTCTTTCTCGTATATCATCTTCGACTGGAATTTGGTCTGTTCCCTACCAATGTAGGTTAGAGCCAATGGTGTCTGGTCAATGGATATTGAGTATATTGGATAGTCAACTGTTAATAAATGTCTGTAATTTTTTGATGATGGTTGTAATAGTTCTGGAAGTTTCAGCTCCGTACAGTAGTACTGTATTGACTTTTGTGTTGATGGTTCTTAATTTGTTGTTAGCTGACAGTTGTTTTGAGTTGCATATGTTTTTCGAATGTTGCCCTTGCTTTGCCAATCCTTGCCTTCACATCTTCATCAGATCCTCCTTGTTTCTGGATGATGCTGTCCATGTACGTGAGAAATTTCACCTCTTCCAGAGCTTTTCCATCACGTGTGATTGCGTTGGTGTTCTCTGTGTTGTATTTGAATATATTGACCATTACTTGTGTATGTTGAGGCGTACTGCTGCAACACTGGCTGTTTTCACTGTCATCTGTTGTTGTGTATGGGTTAGGAGATCAAGGTCAGTCAAGTCCAAATTGTTTAACTGCACCCGAGCTACCCATCGTATTAAGTGCCTGCCTGCCCTAGAATGTGTAGGCTTTCATAATCGAGCAGTGAACCGGTAGAAGAAAGAGAGGTTGATAGGGAGTAAGCAGTCTTATCTGACACCGGTTCCCACTTGGAATGCATCTGTCAGCTATCCTCTGTGCACGACTTTGCAGTGTAGTTTGTCATAAAAATTGTGAAGGATGCTGACGATCTCAGTTACAGTTACACCATAGTGTCGAAGAAGCCTCCATAAGGTTCTCCTATCCACATTATCAAACGTTTTGATAGTGAAGGAGGTTGATGTGTAGTGGTTAGTTCCATTCATTTGATTGTCCAACGACGATCCACAGTGTCAAGATTTAGTCTGTTCACGACTGATCCTTATGGAATCCGGTCTTTTGATCTCGATGCTGTGAGTGTTTTTTTAAAAATATATTCTTACTTTTTCAATAAATGAAGTTTTTAATTTATCTACTCAAAACACTTGATATTTTGCAACAGGATACTCCACCAAATGTAATTACTTCAATCATCATCCATAATTTTAAGTGTAGACAAGTTGATCGAACAGTTTAGTGGAGCTAATTACTAAATATTGTTGTTGATAGAATGCCAAATATATTTTCAGTCATTCAATATGTTAGACAGTTTCGTGTGTTTGTTTTTCTAGGAAGAAAGAGTGGACAAACTGGAAACTAGCTGATTAAAACAACTTGAAATTTAGCTTACTAAACTGTTAACGAGTGTTGTCATAATTTTTGTGTGGCGTATTTGAGTAGGAATGTTTCATTAGTACTTACGGGGATAAGAAAATCATGAGTTGTGGATGTGTAAATCATATTGAATTGTTATATAGACCTTTATTTGATTGATAGTATTCATTGTCCATTGGTATAATATGGAACTTCAAATCACGTTGAAGTTCGAATTTTTTCGAATTTTATATCTCTTATAATATTATTCTGTTCATATAGTATGGTAGCAACGATGATAGTTATTATTATTATTATTTATTTGAGCACATAAATATTGGTACAAGAAAGCGCCAATATATATGCGCCACACAAAACAATGAAAATTCGAAGAGAGAAAAGAAAAAAAAACTAAGGAGCACAAAAGAAAAAGAGAACAATAACAAAGAGATTGGTGAAAGGTAGTGCGGTCGTAACGATGGAACGGGAAGGTACAATCAGAAGAAATCTTTCAAGTAAGGGAGACACAACCACTTTTTATGAAGAAAGTAAAAGAAGGTTACAGCAGGATCGCCACTGGCTTCTATTCTGAGCCATATCTGATAACGTCTCTAGCCACTGTGTAGCACCATCTCTCAGACCCCAACCAGAGAGTCGTGAAGGACCGACAGAAGCCAGTCCTTTGTAGCTTTCTTTCATACCACGACACCATGTCATGCACTGACCACCTCTCCGCTTTTTCCAACCAGTCCCAGAGTCGGCAAACAATGCACGACGTGGAATTCTCTGGGACGACATTCGTAGAACATGTCCAAGCCACCGAAGTCGGTGTTTCAAGATGGTGACACCAATTGAATTATCATCTCTGTGCCCAAACACACGATGCCGAACCTCTGCATTACTAACATGGTGCTGCCACTGAATGTCAGCAATCCTTCGGAGACAGCGATGATCGAACACAGAGAGTCGTCTAACGTCCTCAACTCGGAGAGGTCAGGTTTCACAAGCATAGAGCAAAACTGCTCTCACCGACGCGTTGTAGATCCGACCTTTTACAGCCAGACTAACATCACGAAGGCGCCAAAGATGGCCCAGATTGGCATAAGCCGCTCTGGCTTTCACTATACGTGCATTGATCTCATCACTCACACCCCCACCAGCACTTATGCAGCTACCCAGATACACGAACTTCTCGACTACGTCTATCTGCTCACCATCCAGGGTGAGTACAGGATTGGAATCCTGCCAGTCTTGTAGAAGTACTTTGCACTTCGAAGGTGCAAAGCACATACCATACCTACGGACACTGATTGCCAACTGATTAAGTGCGGATTGCATGCCTTCGGCATTATCGCACAGTAAGACAATATCATCCGCATACTCAAGGTCGATAAGTCTTTCTCCAGGCAACAGATCCACACCACCATTACTTACATTCATCAGAGCTGTTTCCAGAATGTCATCGATGGCAAAGTTGAAGAGGAATGGTGAGATTGGGCAACCCTGCCTAACCCCACTACTCGAATGGAACAATGGAGAGAGGTGGTTGTATGCCCTCACTCTGCCTGAGGTGTTTTTATATAGGGCTTTTAGGATGTTAATAAACTTCTCAGGCACACCCTTCTTCAATAGACAATCCCAGAGAACAGTCCTGTCCAACGAATCAAAGGAAGCCTTGATGTCTAGAAACACTACGATTGTTGGCCTTTGATAAGTATCGCGGTGTTCTAACATTTGGCGGAGGGTGAAGATATGATCAATACAACCTCGACCAGAACGAAACCCAGCCTGCTCCTCGCGAGTCAATCTTTCTCGGGTTTTGAACAACCTACGAAGTATGACGGAAGCCAATAGCTTGGACGCAATCGGAAGTAGACTTATCACCCGATAGTTGTTGCAGGAACGACGTGAACCCTTTTTAAAGATAGGGACAACTATCGACTCATTCCATGACGTTGGTACACTCTCTAATTCCCAAACCTTTGTAAACAACGTCGTCAATTCCTTAGTCAAAAAGTCACCACCATCTTTAAAAAGAGCCGGAGGTAAGTCATCTGGGCCAGGTGATTTGTAACGCTTCAAGAGTTGGAGTTCTTTGCGGACTTCCTCCTCGTTTGGTGGATCAGTCGTCACCGGCCATGGAGGGCAGGACAGCCTGACCGATGTTGCCGGAGCAGCAGGCCAGTTGAACTGCCCTTCGAAAAATTCTGCCCATCGTCCAAGACGTCGATGGATGTTAGTGATTGGCATCCCATCATCCTCGCAGATTGTTTCACTCACACCAGACTTCTTGCTGCCAGTGGCTCGGATGAGCTGGAAGAGCTTCCGGTAGTTACCAGATGCAGCTGCTGCTTCCATCTCATTAGCACGCTCCGACCACCAGGCTTCTCGGTCCTTACGCAAGCCTTGCCCAAATTCCTTACGTAACATCCTTCGTTTATGGTCAAACTCACGGTCACCCGGAGTCGACCGACGGGCTTCAATAAGTTGTAAGGAACCAGAAGAAACCCAGTGCTTATAAGCGGGACGTTTCGCAAACCCACAACTGACTGTTCCCGCCATTTTCATGGCGTCAAGCAATTGCAACCAATGCTCATCTATACTTTTCGGTGGAGTGGTAGCTAGCCTAGAAGCTAGCTCGGTTCGATACTTATTTGCAACAGAAGTTGCAACCAGCTTGCTAATATCAATCCTTTGGTGGTGGTCACTTCGTTGTCCACTGAAAAGTAAGGCAAGATTGGCGCAGACCAAGGCATGGTCAGAGTCCAGATAGGTACTCCAAAAGGAGCGGCAGTCTTTTACACAACCACGCCAGCGGAAGCTGATCGCGATGTGATCAATCTGAGTCCAGGCTTGAGATGCAGAGGGAGGACGCCAGGTGGCACATCGGCGATGACTGTGCCGAAAGTTAGTGCTAGCCAGAAACAGGTTGTGGTCTGTGCAAAGTTGCAGTAGACGGTCCCCGTTATCTGACCTGCGACCAACGAGTCCCCATCGGCCACCTAAATGACTCTCTTCTGTGCCTAGACGCCCGACCTGCGCATTCAAGTCTCCGGCTAGTACTACAATATCTGTCGAGCGCACTTTCTGGAGAAGAACAGACAGCTGGTGGTAAAACTCATCCTTGATTGCATCCGGGCTGCAATCTGTCGGGGCATAGGCGGAGATGACGAAAAGACATCGTTTCTCACGCCGATTTCTTCTCACTTTGATGGAACTTTCTAATCTAACAGCACATAACCGACTGTTAATGGGGATCCAATCGACTAGTGCTGCCTCAGCTCTAGCGCTTAGTGCGACACCAACGCCAGCAAGACCAGACGAAGATGCCACAGGGTCCCCGGATAAGCGCACGTAAAACAAGCTTTTCGATGCGACAGATGGAGATCGAATTTGTAGTACTTCGTCAGAGTCTTGAATACGGGTCTCGGATAGACAACAAACATCAATATTGAGACTTTCCAAAGACATAGCCAGCCCTATCTGTTGTCCGACCTGCATTAGTGTGCGAACGTTGAAGGCAGCCAGTTTGAATGGTGCACGTGGTTTCAGAAAAACTGCTTCAGTTCTCGTATTCGGTGGTAACATACAATTTTCAACCGAACAGTGACTCGAGAACGTTTAGATACAGTCGAATTTCCACCAAAGACGAGCCGCTGTATAAGTATAAAAGAGGGTGAATAATGTGGAAAATAATAATAATAATAATAATAATAATAATAATAATAATAATAATAACAATAATGACAATAATGGTAATAATAATAATAGTATTAATAATGACAATAATAGTAATGATAATTATTTGAATTGATTGATTGTTTATCGGATCGAGAAAGGTAGTTGTCGTAGTCATAGAGTTCATTGTTTGTGTGTGGGCTGTGATACTGCCCCGGTGCCCAAACCGAAGCAGGTGGTTATCTTAGGGGGCCACACCCCGAGCGTTTGACCTAATGGTCTAACCCACAAGGCAGTGGAACATCGTGAGGAGATGCAATCCCATGGTAGCCGGTGACCAACGATTGGTTCATACGCCATTTGTTCCCGCAGGATACTGGAGCCCATGTGCACCATTGGTTTGTGATCCGGTTAAAGCGCCGGACGTTCGCTTTAATTGTAGCTATAGTTAGTCAATGTATTGATTTTGGAATTGTTGAATATTGTAAATGAAGCGTAGAGGTGTATGCTTCGCGTTTTATACATACATGATAATCATGATGAACACATGTTTGTTTTGGTTGTAAACTTTAACCGATTCATTTACGTATGAGCTTCTAAGTTCCTTATGACTGACTGTGTAGCATGTATATTCCATCTTTGTTTTATTACTTTATTGTTCTCATCGCTTGTTTTTAGTTTTCTGCTTTCGTCATTTTTTTAAAACGTCCTCCAATTCCAATATTGGTTCGGTGTTTGTTTTGTATTACAATCTGTCGTAATTCTGATTGATATAATTTCGCTTAGTGTTTAAATGTATCTTGATATTTTGTTGAAACAGTATTCTCACACATGAATAGTATAATACCAATTAGATTCAATGACAATATGAAATACCGCTGGTTTGGGAGAACGTTTGTACCACCTATGATTGAACAGTGAAAATGCTAGAATTAACCTACCGGTTTTAGATTTGTTTGAAGTGAATAACTTTGAATGGTAATTGTTTATACTTACGAGCTGTCGTAAAAGGTTTACAAATTACTACAATGCTAATTAATGTAAAAATCAAACAGAATCATTACATTTCTTGAAATATTTCCTCTCTATCTGCTCTTTGAAAAACGTTAGACAAATCCTATGAAATTCAATCACCACCTTTTATACGATAGGTGGGAAAAGAGTTATAGCATTTAAACTGGTATCAAACCGTAATGGCAATGATTGAATGTTTGTGGCAAATACTGACTGCTAAAATAATTTCTAGAAGATGTTTTGAATAAATACAATTTGAATGCATGGTAGAAGACATTTGTTGTAATATTACACAATTGATGCCGCGAATTCTCTACTTCATTAAGATTTTTGGTATTGAATAAAAGGTTATTATTATTATTATCATTATTAATTATTAGGTACTCTTTTCTACCCAGTATGTTTTCATACCGAATCAACATTCACAATGAAATATGATAAACTGAAACATATGTTCTTGATCATTTTCCCTACGTAGCTTTATCTTCTTGCTCCCCATTAACACTTTTTACTTCGAAATCGGACAATCTACACCAATATATTTTGTCAAAATTAGGCTGTTCGGTGATATATATATATATATATATAGTGTTATTTTCTATCGAATAAGTTACTCATATATCAAAGCTATTTATTCGAAGCGTAATAGTCTTAGTTGTATACTATATGACCGATAATCTAATCTATAAAGTTTGTGATTTGTTCTTTAAATATGGGAAAATTTAGTTCTTAACTTTCAGTCATTTTATTTCTATTATTTCACCGTCTATGTTTTCTTTACTTTTGTAGGTAAATTTATTTCCTCCCAACTTGACTGTATTTCTGCTTTTCTCAATTTTTGTATCGTGTTTGGTTTGTTTTGTAATTTGGGATATTAACGATAGTTTAATAACTGATCAAATTCAGTGTACGTTTACTAACTGCGAATCTGATACGATAATGACTATGTTCGAAAAAGACGACAATAGCAGTTCATTGAAGAAATCATCGAAGAAATTCTCATCCGTTTCATTGAATAATCCAAGACATAGTCATGTAGCTGTATGCGATTCATTTTGTGAATTACTTATAAGATTAATTTTGTAAGTTTTAATTTCTTAAAATTAAAATTTCAAAATTTTTGTTTGTGTAAAGAGATCACAATAAAAATCTGACTGGAACAGTAATACTATAACATATTACAAGATGATATAGTGAATAACAATTGACCGAAGTTAAATAACGATAACAATTTGCTTTGTTTATAGAACTTTCTCGAGAATGTCATAAAAAAATATTCAGGACATATGAACTTAAATTTCTGGTGTATAATTTTGATTTCAAATCACATGTACCTTGGTTATCAATGTCATGAATGTAAATAGAAACGCTCTTGTAGTAAATAAATCAATTGTTGTTAAATGCTGTCCTAAACCATTTGCTAAACTATAAGCTTCCTGTTGATTAATTGTGACCTTCTGAACACATAACCTTTAATCGTTAAATATAATATTGTAATACTGATCATCAACTCAGTGAATATCATCAACAATATCTTAGCGCAATTGAAATAAGTTTTTATTTTAGACTAAAAACGTATTTTTTTAATAAACGGAATACACCCATTATGACATTCAATAAAAGAAAGAAAGATTAGTTCAGCGAAGAGTTCTCTTTTCGGCGAGTTCATTTTCAAAGCTGTACAATCACATTTATATGTACTTATTTTTACAGGGTGATAATAATACTGATGATAAACTTCTGTTATACATGGTGACAGTGTGGTTAAATCAACAAAAGTGTTTTTAAAAAAATTTTAAAACAAGGAAAGTTTAATAATCGTTTGATAGTTAATGGCTCAGCATGATAAAATAAAATGTTGAAACAGAGATGAAATGTGACCAGAATGATCGTGGAAATAAAAACAAACCGGTTGGGGGTAGAAGATTTGAAGGGAAGATGAAAGGTGAAGCAGGTGGCTGTAAGGGAACAAGAGTATGAAGAAATGGAAAAAAAATTTAATACATTAAGACCATGGCCGAAGAAAAGGTTGTACCAGTTTCTTTTGTACACATTATTCTGGTTTTTAAAAATGTATGACTATTGCCTCGGCAATGCAAAGAAGATGCAGTCTAATTGTTTCAAGAAGGCTTCTACTTACCTTGTAGATGACTTTGAACGTAGAATCTGTCTTGATTTAGTGACCTGTGTTTACAAGATGTTCGATTATAGAATGGCTCAATAAGAAGTTCTATAATCGAAGTATGAAATGTTAGATAAAAATGAAGGCGTTTAGTAGTATGGTGCACTCTATTTGTGCTGACACATGTAAATAATATATAGCAGCAGTCATAAGTAAAATGCCTGCCTGCAGAAAATTAAGGAAATTGAATTGAAGAGAACAGGAAGGGAAACAAAGAGCGATTGTAGTAACAACAGAATTGAAAGAAGCATGAAGCATGTACACAACAACTGAAAGATGATGTTCAAATAACATAGTTAATGTATTGTCATCATAGTTTTGCGAGGGCACTCTGTAATTTCGCACTAAACAATAAATTGGTTTTCCCAATCTAAGTTCTCGTTCACTACTGTAGTATACTTGTTCGTAGGTAAGTGTTAAGTTCATATTACTGTGTTAATTACATTGATGATTTTTTTGTATGAGTTATGCAAATCAAATATTACTTATTACTTTTTGTATTCACCCGAGACAGGCTTCCACCCCCGAATTCCTTAGTACGGCTGAGTATGTGGAAAATTCGCTCTTCTTCTTGAAGTACTATCACATGACTATGTGTATACAATCACTGTTAGGGGAGTCTTACCCATTGCCTTCTCGTGGCGGTGGGTGTTACGAAATTGAGAGAACGAAAAGCAAATGTCCGGCGCTTTAACTTTGTTTGTGGATGTGGAAGATCCACTTAAGGGACTTGTAAAATCCTGATTTCAAACCATTAGTGCATATTGACTCCAGCATCCGGAAGTAACAAATGACATATGAACCTATTGTTGGTCACTGGCTAACATGGAACTGCATCTCCTAACGTTGCTCCACTGTCTTGTGGATTAGATCTCTAGGTCAAAGACTAGAGGGTTGCCCCCTTAAGAAAATCACCCGCTTCGGTCTGGGCAACTAGACAGTATCCGAGCCTTCACACAAATCGAATTGCTTGTGTGGCGCACATACATTTCGTGCCTCCTTGTACCAATGTTTATGTGTTAAAATAAATAAATTCACAAACAGTTTAATATAACCCTAAAATTGGTACTGTCTTGAAAAATACTCTGAATTTGAGTCATTTATCTATCGTCTAGAAACCTGACTATTAAAACATTTGAGAATACTTCTGTCTTTTATATATTGAAGCTCAGTTCTTAAATTTACAAATGATTACTAAGTTACTTTAAATTAAATTACACTCAATTAGAGTATAGGATTGACATTTTTATTAGTAAACTACAACAATTACTTTCGGCTTATTTCAGAAATTTATGCGTAACCGCTATTTTATACCGCAAAACTAACAAGATGTTTAAATACAAAACGTGTAGTTAAAATGATGGACCAATTAAAACTATATGCTGATGTTACATCCTTTACCTGTTCTCCCGATTATGTACAGGAGGGAATTTGTCTCGATCTGGCTTAGGGTCTTGACCCGATAGGCTGGAAATGCGTGATTCCCAAATGAGACTGACGACCTTGAGTAGAGGCGAAAACTATTCTATCACCTGATTGATTGACAAGCGAGAGAGAAAGAAGACGAGTCAACTGGAACACTACTCCATTTATTCCTGATTCCCGATTCCTAATTCAGCTTAGTGTAAAAAGATTCGTGAGTAAGTAAATGGCTAACATGACCACAACGCCCAAACAATTAGAAAAAATAGAATTACATCTAAAATGGGCATTAAGGTAGAACAGTAGAGTACTAAACGTTAGGTTTTAATTACAATTACTTTAGAACACAAAAGGGTTTGGCAGTGAATCATACATCAAGCGAAAACTCATGGTTTATAAAATCAAAATAGGGAGAAAACTAAATATTAGGGTTTTATAAGCTTTGAATTAAGTGAAATAACGTCTCCGAAAATAACTCCCATTGTTTTTCATATCCTCTTTGTTTCTCTATTCACATCAACTACAATCATATTTATTACCAAGAACACCTTTAATTTACAATTTAGTAAACCAGTCAATTGTACATTATAAATACTGAAACGTATCATAAATTATCACGATCACTATTATTATTCTGTTTACTTTTATTTCCAATTTATATCACATTCTAGGTTAACTTGTTCATTAGTTAGTTTATTAATTCTATTAGTATATCTTGTTCATCATTTGGAAGTATCTGTGGCTGATATTACTTGTCAGTTGTCTACAATATTCTCATTGAAAATATTTTGTATTGCACAAATCTCCGTTGGATATCCCCAAAGATGGCTCTGTGACAAGGCAAGTAGTTGTAGACTTATGTCGTTCTGTCTCTGTGTGTGTGTATGTATGCATTATATATATCTGGCAGTAAATAATTTAATAATCTATTTTGATTTTTGAAAACAAACATCTAATTAAAAGTATTTGCTAACAATATTTCAAGCTTTATCATATTTATACCTGAATGTAAAAATTTATTTATTTTAATGTTATACATACTACGATTTTAATTAATTTTTTCAAGACATTCCCAAAAATTACGAAATCACTTGTTTATCCGGAACACATTCTATCAAGTCTTATTCACCATATGAACACGACTTTTTTCATCTTTAGTGGCCTGTGGATCTGACTCCATTTAGATCGTATGAATGTTCGTTACCACCTATCCTCGTATACAATTATCGACTTAAATCACATTAGTCAATAACGGAATTTAGATAAGTCAATTAACGAGAATGGCCTTTGAATACATATATTTTGTATGTAAAGTGAATGCGATAGAACACAGCAAAAAAGGACGTGCAAGGGAGATGGCTGGTAAGCCAACTCCATTTCTAGCCAGGCGTTACGCCATATTTATAGCCAGACAGAATAAACTACAGACGTGTGATGAGACATGGGATATGAAGTGTACACATACATATGCGCTCATATAAAAACAGTAAAAACTGATAAGCGAATAATTAACAAGGTCAAAATATGACTCAAGTAGAATGAATAGATTAGTTTGTCCAAAAACTAGAATAAGATATATTATGGGCTTAAAATAATGACTGCTACTACAGAGATCCTATTGTATTCATATGTTCTCAATGTGACTATTGAATAACGTTTATGTTCATCATCATTTCATGTGTGTATATTGTGTGATGGGTTACCCTAGTTGTAATCATGAGTTTCTCGTTAGATCAAATGAGTTGTAGTACATAATACACATGTAATATAAAATTAAGTAAACATGGTAGATTGTTTGATATAACTTTGCACATTATCGGGTAGTGCAATTTGTTTATTGTATTATACGTGATTTATATATATATATATATCGATTCAATCTGGCCATTAAAACTTTTTTCTCACTCAAGTAGCCAGTCGGGATTGTGTATCGAAATCAGAACCGGAAACCTTAAAGCATAACAAAAATAACGATAGATGTATGAATTATTATTGTTTTCAGTAAGTTCTCTATGTAAATATGAAGCTGAACTGTCGCGAACAGTGGTAATCTCTAATTACACTACTGAAATAATAAACTTGGCAATGATGCTATTAGACCATCCTTGATTTTTATTGTTTTCCTAAGTTAATTTTAATCTCGAAATATTTCTATTTACATTCATTGATCGACACATTCTTGTTTTATCATATTCCTTAATGTGTTTCTTCAAATTTCAGGTTCGATGTCGGTCTGCTCGACTCATTGACAATGATTCCAACGATGTTTTACGATTTATTCTAATATCTATAGTCAACGTTTGCATTATATTATCAGTTATCCTTCGTTATCTCTTCTGTCAAAGTTTGTCTACGGAAATAGAAGTAGGTTGTTTGAGATACAAAGCATTTTCACGTGTATTTAAATTGTATTATTATAGACTCCTATAATATACATTTGTTCAATTCTTTTATAGATATTCTTCCTTCCGTGGATCATCTTCACTTTTCATGGTAAACAACTTCATCGATATCGTCATGTTTTAGCATTAACCTGTTTCACTGTTCTTTTGTTGTACATGGTGTTTATTCATTCACCAATTGTGAAAGGTTATGCACCATCTTTGCCAACGTTTGATCGTCAATTTTTCGGTAGAACAAATTCACCATTGTATTATTGGAGTGAATTTTTATTAACTATTGCATTATGTCCATTGCATGTATTATTTCTTGCAGATCAATCAAATATAACCACACAAGCTCTAGTTGATATACTTTTCTTAAATCAATTCAGTCAATTACATACACATAAACAACATTCAACTACATTGTTATCATCAATTCTATGCTTTAAATGTTTGAAATTTCAAATAGCATATACTTTAAGTTATATATTTTCATGCATTTTGTATACAGCTTATGGTTTATTACCATTCTGCATAAGTTATTGGTTTGTAGCCAGCTCGTTGGCATCGGCTATTTTCGGTTTGTATAGTTTTATTATTTGTTCTTATTTATTACTTCGTGTAGATATTGTCACAGACCAGTATTCTTTTTATTCGTACACATGAAATAAATTTTATTTGACGTGTTCCTCTTCGACTTATTATTATAACGAATGCATTTTTATCACTTTTTCATCCTTTCCAATTTTATTATTCTTCTGTACATCTGTAAATATAGATTTTGTACTAAATTGTAATAATAATATATGCTGTAATGTACTCAACTTTTTTCTTCTCCGGTTTTTTCAAAATCGTAAATTATTTTGTATGTGCATGTTTGTCCAGATTGTTATATTTTGTGAAGAATCTTATATACTTCAGACAGTGAGTTCCAACTGCCGATTGAAATAAACTGAAATTACACATTCCAAACTAAAGAGTACTGTTAATATATTTTATTTCTCACCATTCCTCAGCCATAGTATTGAACTCAGAGCTTGCATCGTACTGTATACATTCAGGTCTCTGATATGAAATCTTTTGTTTCATATTTTTATATTTCATAACTTTGTAATGGATGCAATTCTTACTTATTGTAACTGGTATAATAACTACTAATAATTTTTCACTAATGAATGTAAGTCTTCATGATTATTCTTGAACATGTAACGTATTTTTTTTTATGTCACTGAGATATTTTCTTTAATAAACTTCTCATTATTGCTAATGACTGTATGTATTCTTAGAGTATCAACATTGTTAGTATGTATTTAAATTTAAAAACTGTCTTATTTAAGTTGGAGTGCTATTCACTAAAAGGTGTCTGTGAATGTCGTACTTAACATCACATTGATGAGTTCATATGTATCAGAAGGGGTTTTGTGGAGATTGTAGTAAGTTCAATAGTTAAGATAATGAGTCAATTGAAGCCAAACCACTATGGAAAACCTGGAAGCACTGGACGGCCGTTTCATCCCATTGTGGGACTCCTCAGTAGTGCGCATATACGACCCCACCTCGTGGGATTCAAACCCAGGACCTATCAGTCCCGTGCGCGAGCGCTTAACCATTAGACCGCCGAGCTGGTCGGCATCCAACAGTGTTAATGTCTGACTTCAACTTATCCACGAAATTAGCAGCACATCCACCACTGTCATCACTGAGTTACTATCTCACAATTAACCCAGTTGAACTCCACTGGTCACTGCTTCTCATTAGAATTCCATTATATACCTCTTGAAGCTAGTCACATATGTGCCTATTTAGGATTTTCGTGGATTGCTAAGATTCTCGGGTATCTAGTGCACATTTAGATGTGAAGATTAGTTTACTACTCTATTTTAAGGTTCTTGCTATCTGTGTCTGAAGAATGCAATCAATAAAGATTCCCTGCATTTTGCCAAGTGTCGTGGTATTTTTTAAAAACTTAGTTATTTACACTATTAAGTACTATAATAATGGTGTGATGTGAAAATGTTATTGGATTTTGGTCTCCGAATTTTTCTTAATATTCGATGTTTCAAGTTCGACATCATAAATGATTTTACTTTTAACTAATGTGCTACTTTACTGTTTTATCTTACCAATTGCCGTATGCACACCTGTTTTGCTAAAAACAGGAATTAACATAAAAAATGTCCTCTATAAGGTAACTGCCATTTACATTATGATGACGCATAACCAGACGACAAATAACTCATTATGACCTGCTTGAAATTTACGGTGGGATCTAAATGCTTCGTTAAATAAAAATAAATATCATTAAAATTAAGAAAGAGAAGTGAAATCATAGGGAATATATTTTTACACCGAAATCATCTTTCTGACACATATTCTTCAGTGGCTTTGAGAAATTTTCAAAATAAAAATTGAGAATGACATAAGGGATCTGAGTTATCGATTAGCCTTGCAAAATCTATATCAATCTCCTTATATATATATTTTTTCAACTGCGTGTGCAATTGAAGACTGTTTATTAAAGTGATATGTAAATAGACCGTGATTTTCTTGGCTGTAATCAAACAGCAAACGTGTAATGTGTAATCTAAAAATTTAGGCATTATATCCCAGAACTTTGTGGGTGGGATTTTTTCTATTCTAAGAGCAGTTTGGCGAACTCTGTGTCTTTATTCACATTTATTAAAAAGATAGTCAGCACAGCCAAGTTGTACATTATCTTCGCAGTCAAGTCACGAGTGATTTACTAATCAACTCACAATTGGACTTCCCATGCATGGTAAAAGTTTTTACGGTAAATTTGGACAAACTTGAGTGATATCTACAAGGTACATTCAACCACCAAATCATTTACTCACACATAAAGCTATCCTAAAATTACGTGACCTCATACTTATACTCACTACCTTGTATATAGTTTAGCCAATTGATAAAAGACTGCACTATTTTCGACCACTCACATTTGAAATTCACCTTTCTGTGACTGGGACTGACTATTGTTAAACGACTTACACAGATTTGTAATCTTGGAGCATGAAAAGAAAGTTATCAAGATCAGATCCGCTGAAACATTCATTTTGGAATATCGATTGGTAATATTCGCATTTCAGTCATTAATAGATATAAATATTCAAGTATGGTGATGATAATATGTAGATTCGCCAGTTTCCGATCTATAGAAAGTCTCGTTAGGCGATGATATATGGTTGAAAGAATGAAGTCATTGTTAGAGTAACAAATAAGAAACTATTAGTAACATGAAAACATCACTAACGATGATCCGATCATAAATCATTTTCGATGAAATGATCACGTTCATAGCCGTGTGTGAGACAAGCGAATTTTTAAACAAAATATTTAGGTTTAATATAGTTCCTACCCGTAACGAATCTGGATATGAACTTTTATTAGGTTGAATGTACACATCTTCCTAGAAATTAGAAAAATTTCATGACAGTTTCTGTAACTTTTATTTTACAGTATGTCCTGTAGGATGTGGGTCGTGACCGGGAAACGCTTGGCCAGTGTAGTTGCCGTTGACCAGATTAAATTTATTAGCTCATCTGTGGACCTGAAGTCGTATATCATCAGTACCGAATACTGATTAGGTCTTTTGATTTCAGATTATGTATCTTACTATGATGTTAAGGTTAGACTCATCAGTTGTTATGATGTATTCGCTTTCAGTCTACATGAAATCACTTTGATTGCTCTTTGCTAGGTTTAATCCTTGACCTTATTTTGTTTTATATCTTAACTAAACGTCTTTATTACATTTTTCCAATTATAGTCTGTTTACTCATACTCATTATAAATAATAAGGAGAAATAGTACTGGTATTCTCTCAATGAAAATGAGTTATGCTAAAGGTGTCATAAAATAAAGAGCCTAAAATTTGCAAGTTCTATTTGCCGTAGAATGGTCGCAATTGGGCTACTATCGAAAACCAATGAATAATGTGATATAGTAAGCTAGTCAGAAGTGACCTGATTGACAAACGCATATCATTGGCTAAGAAGTCTATTGATTTTGTAAGGGGTAGAGATGTATGTATATAATTGAATATTTGTGCATATTATTCGGTAGCCCAATGTACTTTCTTGTTCATTCTTGTGTTCTCGCCCAAATAGTCAGGTTGGGGGGTTAGCGTGTAGCACATCGTGTATTACTATCACATTTCGGACAACGCCCATCATAACACACTGAACAGATGTTCTGGTCTAATATGAGACCCCTCCATAGTATACAACAGTGATATCACCAAAGATCGAACCCAAGATCTTTGGGTTTCGTAGATGACCGATAACTATGAAAACGTTGATTTGACATCCAATGTGACAGTTTCAAGTTCAGTCGATTCTCAATATAACGTGATAATCATCTAATAATATTTTTGATAACCGTTTCACCTTTGATTCGTCTATATTCTACCAGTTATAATCAATACAACCCTCAGATTGGGAATACTCTCCATAAGATGATCCCTTTACAACTAGAACTTGAAATGTTTGTATTTCTTTTAGATGTCAACACTTTAATTGTAAATTTTCCTGTATTTTGGTTATGAAAAACGCATACACTCATCTTTTTGTTTATCGTTGAAATGTCCTATGAAAAGTATTAATTTAACTAGTTTTATTATTATAGTTTTTCGATCGATTGGGAAAGTATTTTACACGTCGATGATAACGGTATATTTTATTCATTTAAAACATAACAACCTTAAATTTATTGACTAATTTCTTAATAAAACAATAAAGTTAACTTAATTCTACGCATGAATAATATGTCATGTAAATTAATTTAGAAGGCATTTATGTATTTAAAGACTTCCCAATTTTTATCATATATGTTTAACACTTAAATTCATGAGTCAATCTATTTTTGATCACATTAAATTCAAAACAACTTTCCAGTGCTTTCAAGTTTTCAATTGTGATCTAGCTTAGTTTGACTGGCAAATTCATTTATTGATTTATTTATTTGAACACATAAATGTTGGTACAAGGGGGCACCGGATATTTATGCGCTACACTCGTAAATTCAACTGTTAACCAGATTACAATCTCCATACTGGTAATTATGTTTAACACAATTTATATATGTATATACACATATATGTAAAAAACAAAAAAAGAGTTAATAATAAATAGTTAATAAATCAAACAAAAGTACGAATTGATGTACTCTAAATTAATTAGCTTGTTCATTGATTAATAAAATAGAACATTCTATAGTGTTCCATATAAAAATAGAATTAGTTAACTTGTAACTATGAATTAAAACATTTTCATTATAATTCAAATGAATCAACATTATTATTATTATTACTCAAAAATTAACTAATTAATCATTAATAATTTTCATTTTGTCTATTTAATAGGTAATTCTAACAAAATGTCCAAGATGTAAATAATTTCACGATAGATTTTCTTTAATGTATCATATGATTAATTGTCCATTATTTAGTACATCTAATAGATTGAATATTTTATCAAAAATGAGGGATTCGTTGGGATTGTAGTAATTTTAACAGTTAAATTCGTCAATCGATTTAATATAAACTATGATTGAAAATTCGTTTTGCGGGATCGTGTAGCTGCACTGCTTAGAAATTTTATACTGACAGTTGTCCAGTGCTTCCAGGTTTTCCATGGCGGTCTAGCTTATATCGACCTATGAATTAGACTATTAGATTTACTACAATCTTCACAAACCCCTAGTCTGATAATAATAATAATAATGTGCTCACTAGTGACTACATTCGAGATGGATTCCTTGGAGTTCTGGTGAGAAGCCGTGACCAGTGGAGTCCAATGCGTGTCGGATGTGAGGCAGTTAACCACCTCAGACAATAAATGAAGTGTTGGACAGGATCATGGAACGTTTGAAGTTGGATACGTGCTCAGTGGTCTAAAAGTTAAGCGTCAGTCAGCTATAACGTAGGACCAGGCACATATATGCATTGGTCCAAGTTGCCATACCGCATTAGCACAATAAGATGAACACGGATTCATAGAAGTAGTTAATGCAGTGGTGGTGATATATAAAAATATATTGCATATAAGGATATAGGATGGGAAGAAAGAATTAGTTGGTATGAGAAAAGATATAAAGCAATTTTAACCTCATAGTTTAGTGGAACACATTGAGTGTATGCACCTACGCCATTGTGATCGATTCTGAGCCATTTCACCAAGAGCATGCGAAACCGAAGGCCTTGAGTTCGAGTCTTGCGTTCAGGATCGTGGATGTACATTGTTGAGGA